AGGCAGGCCGGGACGCGGGGCCGGCCGCCGCTCCCTTGGGGCAGCGATGGCGACGGCGCCTTCCCCCGCGCCGCCGTTATCCGGCCATCTCCGAGGAGCCGCGGAGGACCCGGGTGGCGACGGCGGAGCTGTCCGCACCGCGCCTGACCGAAACGCGTCCCTGCCACCCTCCCCTACCCCGCCGGCCTCCGCTCACCTCACCGGCGCCGCCCCGCCACACACCGGCGACACCCGCTTCCTTCCCGCCGCGCCGCGGACTGAGCCGGCCGCTCCTCTCCCCGCAAGGACACCGGGGGCGCGCCGCGCCAGCCGCCGCCATCGCCCGATCGCGCAGCCAATGGCGAGAGGCCGACACGCCCAGGCCGCGCCGCGTCACTCGCCGCGTCGCCGGGGCAACCGGCCTGGCGAACGCCGCACGAGCCCGCGAGTCGATCAGGAGCGGGGAACACGCCATCTCGCCACGGGCCGCCCAGCCAATCGGCCGCCGCGCTCCCGTCTCCCGGCGTTCCGATTGGGCGGCAGGACGCGGCTCATTTACATACGGCGATCGACAGAGCGCCGGCCCTGAACGGCTCCTTGCCGCGGGAGGCCGGCTGGCGGGCCCGGCCCCCCCGGGGAGCCCTGCTGCCTCACGGCGATGGTGACCCACTGTCCCCATGCGTTTTACCCGCACCTTTCGAAGCAGCGTAATACTAATAAGCCGTGGTGCCCCTCGGCTTCCAGAGAAAAAAAAGAATTAAAAAACCCGCAGTATTCGTGGCTTTTGGTCAAAGAGGAAGTAAGGTTTTTTTGCTCGCAAAGCACAGGAGGCTCCTTGCTCTTTGGTGCTGCTCCTTGTTGGGGCCCACTCCTCCAGTTTCTGGTGGCCGTTGTGTGTTTCTGGGTCTGAGTGGCTGCAGGCTGATGCGTTTCAATACACACAAAATAAATAAAACCTGCAGGGATTTTGCTGCGGGTGGTCTACACTCCAGCTTTCCCAAATCTGCCTCTTCCACGTGCCGTTCCATCTGGAAATACTTCTGGTGGCTCCGCGCCATCCTGAGCAGGGAAACCGAGTCTCAAAAAAGGGTGTGCTGACAAAAAGGTTTCCCAAGAAACTCCACCCAAAGTGGTTGTTGTCAATGACGAAACCATTCATGCCAGCTCAGTCTTTCACCTTGTGAATGCATTCTGCATTCGAACTTGGATGTGCTGTGCATAAATCCCTGTAACTCACAGCTGTGTATCCCTCTGACCTTCCTTCTGCTTCTTTCTCAATACTCACGTTTTCTTGAGTATCTCACCTTTATCACCTGAAAAGAGTAAAGTATTACCAGCGAGATATCTGGAGTAATTTGATAATACACACAGCAATTGCTGTAATTGCACACGGATATGACTAAGCCAAAGCAAACCAGCAATTTGTACACACTTGCAGCCATTATGTATAATTGATACACAATTCAAGGTGATCTTTAGCATCTTGCTCTGCTTTCCACACTTCTTCCATAGCAGTGTTGTTTTTTTTTTTTTCTGTGATAAGCAGGATTTGCCAAGTAATAAAAATGCTAATTTTATCATCAAGTTCCCTGGGATCAGGAGTCACTGCAATCATTTGGAACTTGCAGTCTGCACAAGAGTGTGATGTGACACCTGCCACCATGTGTTAGTCGCTGTATCTCTTGGGGTAGCCTGCCTGCAGCCCAGCTCCTCGGGGTGCCCGAGGCACAGCTCCTCAGGGTGCCTGAGGCCCAGCTTCTTGGGGTGTCTGAGGCCAAATTCCTTGGGGTTCCTGCAGCCCAGCTCCTCAGGATGCCCAAGGCACAGCTCCTCAGGGTGCCTGAGGCCCAGCTCCTCAGGGTGCTTGTGGCCCAGCTCCTCAGGGTGCTTGTGGCCCAGCTTCTTGGGGTGTCTGAGGCCCAGCTCCTTAGGGTGCCTGAGGCCCAGCTTCTTGGGGTGTCTGAGGCCCAATTCCTTGGGGTTCCTGCAGTCCAGCTCCTCAGGGTGCCTGAGGCCCAGCCCCTCAGGGTGCCTGAGGCCCAGCTTCTTGGGGTGTCTGAGGCCCAATTCCTTGGTGTTCCTGCAGCCTAGCTCCTCAGGATGCCCAAGGCACAGCTCTTCAGGATGCCTGAGGCACAGTTCTTCAGGGTGCCTGAGGCCCAGCCCCTCAGGCTGCTGAGGCCCAGCTTTTTGGGGTGTCTAAGGCCCAATTCCTTGGGGTTCCTGCAGCCCAGCTACTGATGTTGCCCGAGGCTTGCCTCCTCAGGGTGCCCGAGGCACAGCTCCTCAGGGTGCTTGTGGCCCAGCTTCTTGGGGTGTCTGAGGCCCAGTTCCTTGGTGTTCCTGCAGCCCAGCTCCTCAGGAGGCCTGAGGCCCAGCTCTGTGTCACCGAGTTACGTACAGAAGTGTAGCTGCCAAATACTGCTAAAATATTGGCAACTAATAATTTGGTTATCTCAAGCACGATACTATACTGTTCTCGAACATATGGACCATCCGTTGTGCTCAGGACAGCAGATTAAGTTAATGGCAGCGCAAGTATGCCAATCAGGAGAAGGGAGCAACTGTATTTGACACATAGATCAGTTTTAAGTATGTTAAGTGCTTTGTGGCTTTGCTGGATGATATGGGCAACAGGGCCTGAGCGAGAAGGCCAAGGCCAGCGAGAAGGCACAAAGCCCTGCCGAAGGTGCCATCCCCAAGCAGGCCGAGGCCGGCTGTGCTGAGGGAGGCTCATCCCGATGGCACTGAAGGGAGAACTGCCCTGAACTTCCACCACCTGCAAGCTTGCGCATCCTCAGGGCGCAGCCCTTGCTGCAGGCCAGCTCCCCTCTCCCGCTCTGCCTCCCCCTGACCCCCTGCGGGGCCGCGGGGCGCCGCGGGGGTCAGGCCTCCACAAGATGGCCGCCGCCACCGCTGAGGGGAGCGGCGCGGCACGCTGAGGGGAGGGCAGGCTGCCGGCGGCGGCCCTGGAGAGCGGCGGCGCCATGGGGGGTCGGGACGACAGCGACAGCGACGAGACCGTGGTGGAGGGCTCTGTAACGGAGAGCGATGTGGAGGAAGAAGAGTTCCGTAGGAGGAGGTGATAACGCGGTGTGCCGCTGAGCTGCGCCTACCCGGGCGAGCGCGGCGGCAGGTGGGGCGCCGGGAGGAAGAAGCCGGGGGCCGTTGGCGAGGAGGAGGAGAGGCGGGCCCGGAGTGCAGAACAGCTCGATTAGTTCTTAAATGTGTATTTTTAGTTTTGGGTGGGTTTTTTTCCATTTTTTTTTTCCTCTCTGTTCAGACCAGTGTTGTGTACCCTTAGACTCAGTTGTTCTTAGCTCTGCAGATGGTCCCCCATTGACTGTACAGACACCCCCACACCCACCCACTTGCTGACCCACCTTGTGGGCCTCACAGTTCGTGCCTCCAGACCCTCCTGAATGACATTTTGGTCAGTGGAAGTGAAATATAACCAGAACCCAACTCAGAGAAAATAAAAAAAAACCTTTAAATGCGGTTGTGGCTGATGTCATTTCTCCTCAATTTTAACTTGATAAGACATGGCAAAGAACTGAAACTACTGAGCAGCTGCACTTCTTTGTACTGGTGTTGTGGTTCAGCGTTGCTTGGAAGTACATGAAGCGGTGATGTACCTCCCTACTGAAGGTTTCCTGTGCAGAATATGGGGTAGATCCTCACAGTTTTGGGGTCCTACACTGTTGGTGTTGGCGATAGAGATGTACTCACCCCAGCGTGCAGTTAGCAATGTCTCAACAGTGGTTTGAGCTGGATGTCATCAAGTGCCCTTTGAGTTTATAGGACTGAAAAACAGAGCATCCAGCTGTTTAATAGCCTTTTTTTTTTTTTTCCCAACAAAGGTTGCTTTTTCTTGAGGAGGACGTGGCCTTAACAACTGGAGTAGGAATTAATGAAGGTAGGACGGATTTGGTTTTCAGTCAGTTTCTGTGAACTGTTGCTGTGGACCTCATTTAAACTTGCACAAAGTTCATTCTTTTGAACTGTATGTGCTCTTTTACTATATCCATAGTTTTAGCTTGTTTTCGTTTTAGAAGAATGTTCAGCACATTTTTAATATTTGAAAAATAGGTTTGCTTTTAATTTTTCTGTTCTTCCTATGTACTATAACTGAGAATACCTGTCTTGAGAAGTATTTGAACTATATATAGGGATATATTTTTTGTTTAGAGGTGTGTATTTTACTTCAGCAGAACAAAATAAATGGAATCTAGACACATAATAGTCATTTGTAACTATAGTTGCATATAGTATTTGAAAAACCTTATAATATACAAAATTTTTACATACAACATTTGGATAAGAATATTTAAGGGCATTATTTGAAGTATATTATTAAATTACTTTTAAAATAAATGCATGCATACTCATTTACAGCCTTAAAATCTTTCCTAATAACTCACTCAGAACATATTGCATGAGCTTGTTGTAGTTACATAATAGTTTTACTGCTACCAGTTAATATAGTTATGAGTTAATATAAATAGTATCTGCAGCCTATTGAAATCTGCAAAAACTTTTCCTATGGGTGTGATTTCCTGACACTAAACCTTTCATAGTTGCTCAATAGTTTTGTCTGAGGAAAGAAGCATCATGCCATTTTGAAAACTTACCTGTGGTTATCCACTGGAATTAAAACCTGGGAACATTCAACATACATGGTTTAAGGCGTGTTTATTTGAGTCATTGTTCAGCTTGTGGAGTGAGGATTTGTCTGAGGGTTGTGTGGTTTTGGTTTTTTTGTTTCTGTAAATGTAATAGATTATGATATTTTTAGCGCTATGCCTGTGGCATTTTATATTTGGTAAGGTAGAATTAGTATTTCATTATTCATGTATTTGTGCTTACTTGTATAGTAGCAGTTTGGTGATGAGATTTGTAACATAAATATTAATTTGATGGGTATTTTGTTAATGTCAGTTACAGCATTCTAGTTTTGAAAATTAAAGGTCAATCTTTAAGGGTTCTTATTTTTTTTCTTTCCAGAGACAAGTTCTTCCTTTGCATAGTCATTAAAAAAAAGGATTCCATATAGGAGTACAAATATTTTTAGTCAAATGGATCAAACAGCTTACCGAAATTCCAGTTTTTAGTTTAAAAAATAAGATGAAAGACTTAATCTTCAGAATGAACTCAAGGAGGATTCCAGAACACTAAGTGAAATAAATTCTCCCTCCAGCTGGTTTTATTAATTTCTTACCTTTCCCATATTGTAATTTCAAAATCTAGTTAGATAGACTGTTTAACCACTTAGGTCCATTGCATATCAGAAGCTTTGATACATATGCCTCAATTACTGAGTTATGTAGAAATTTATGGAGTTACAGAAAGTTATGTAGAAATTAAGGCAATCAAAACTTCTTTAATTACTGTATTTTTCATCTCTTTTTTTTTTTCCTAGGAGCTCCCTCTCCAGAAATCTGTTATATACAGAAATTTTTTGATCACACATATAATCAGAAGGAAGAACAGATAAAAGATACAGAAATGGTATGTCTCTTGTTACACATATCTAACTATTAATTACTAATAAACTTAGTGGGCTTCCCCTTCTTTATGTGCAAGCATGGTGGCTTGCAGCTGAAATGAATTTTATGGCAAGATAGTTCTCATGTGTGTAACACATTCTCTCCAGGAAGGTGTCAAAAGCTCTTCTGTGATGTTTCACGAGGGTATAACCTTTCAAATTTGAGAAGCAAGCCCATAGCAAATATGAAGAAGTCGTGGAGCACAAACTTTTTAGTATGTTCCCTTCAGGAGCTGGAAGATAACCATCTGGATTAACCATGCCAGAATACACCCTTGGTTACTCATTATGAGATTAGCTGTTATCCAGCGATTGGACAGTTGTTTCTTTAAAAACGAAAGAGATAATAATCGGAATTGCAAAATAAAATGTCTGCTTGCTTGATGATGGGGTAATTAATTCTACTGTATGTATTCCCTAATCTACTAATTAGCCCACTTTTTAATATATTTGCCACAGTTGGTAGCTGGCCCATAAACTGCTGTACAATCGAGCAATCGGCTTTCCACCTGCGTAGGACATGCGCATGAAATAACTGGAAACAAACATGTACTCCAGCTGAGACTGTCTTAAAGCCTGGAACTGTTACACTGTCTTTAGCGTTGTGGGTTCACCATCCCAAAGACCACTATCTATGTATTCTTATTGCAGTATGAGACATGTTTTTCAAAAGAACTAGACTGCTTCCTAGATGACAGAAACAGCACTGAAAAAAAAAAAAAAGACACTCTTTCTACTGAAGTGAATGTTTTTACAGAGCATTACATAATTACAAATCAATTGTCTCAACTCACAGTGCAGGGAACAGTAAGCAAGATCAAAAAGACACTGTTTCAGAGGCTTTTCTCCATAAATTTATTTTGCTGCTTGCATGTTCCAGGGTTGTCTTGACTGAAGTTTATCACAGTTTTCTAAGGTCAGAGGGAATGAGGGAAGTGCCATTTACTCTCTCTTTCTGTCCTCTGGGAGCTAATCTGACCATCTACTGCCAGCCGAACTCTTTGGCTTCATGGCTCTCACCAGAATATCCAGTCTGCAATCCCAGTAAGGGATTCTTCCAAGTCTAAGGACAAATCCCCAGTCCACAAAAGGAAAAGTCAGAAAAACAAAGAAATGTAGTACTTTCCACCAAATAGTTTGGGTAACTCAATTTTTTTTTTTTGTGAGACCTATGTAGCATTTCACTGGCAGCTTGGTCATGCACAGCATGGGGACAGTGTAAAATTTTAATCTTTACTAAATGCTATAAGGAACGCTATTGGGCTGTCATCTGTGATACTTGCATGTGTAGATTGTGCCATTGTGGCTCTTTGGCCACTCTGAGACCTAACATGGAGCGTGCTTACACAGAAGCTTTCACATCTATTGTGTCCTCAGAAATGATCTTACGTGAATACAGCATCTTGATGTGATGTGATACAAGGGTCATGCAGCCTGGAGTGGCAGAATTTTTTCAGGAAATTTAGCATCTGTTCCATTTGTTCCAACGAGTCTTGGCTTTCTCTGTACTTCATGTGGGTTGGGAGAAGTTTGGGATATAGAGTCCTATCCTTGATTCTACTAGAGGTTGTAAATAAGAGTTTTCTACCACCAGAGATGCATTAGGTACACAGACAGATTTTGTAACATTCAGGTTCTTTCCAAATGACAAGTTGTTTCCTTTATCTGTTAACAGCCTACTCCATGGCTTTTTCAGGCAGGCCTTATGATTGTAAGTTTGTGCTTTCATGTTTTTCAGGCTTATTTTTTGCTTGCCCAGTTTGTTGAAGTGCACCTAAAGTTGTTAGGTGGCACTTGCAGCTTTTAATCATTAGTCTTTTTTTTGGAACACATTCCCAGTCCCCTCAGATAGTTGGCTGTATAAATAAGTGCTCAAATAAGAAAAATCAGTTGAGTTTTGCAGGAATTTCCTTGCCAAAAAGAAGAGAGCAGGACAAAAGGATTCCCGGTACTGCAGTCAGTGGTCATAAATGCTATTTGTGTAATTTCTATGATTTGAGAACACCTGTCAACCAATCAGCAATACACTGATTTTGCTTAGAACCTAGTATTTTAGCAAACAAAATAGCTCCTTCTTCTTCTGAGAAACAATTGAGCTTTAATCATCTACCTGAGCAACGTTAGCTGGTTGAAGAGGTTTAGTAGTTCTGCTATCCTCCTGACCTCGCTTGGTCTCTGGATAGTGTTCTGTGTAAATACCCAAGCTGATTTGTACAAAGAGTGTATTTAGCAGGTCAGTAACTTTCAGCCAACTATCCCATTGCCATATTTCGGAACTACATCAGTCAATAGTTGTTGCACAAACTGTTTCTAAAGAATCTGTTCCATTCCAGGAAGCCTTTTAGCAGTCCTTCCTACTGGGCAATCTCCACCTGTTGCTCTTCATGTAATTTCTAAAGTGGTTGTTCTTACTGTCTTCCTAGTATATTGTGCAAGCCAAGTAAGCCATCACTTGGTGTCCACACCAACATGTTCTTTTCCAAAGTTTTCCTGGTGCCGTGAATGTTCTCTACTGTACATCAATTATTTGTTTAAAATGGCAGCCAGTATGTTGGTAGTCCACTAGTAATCCCCAGTCTTCAGCTCATGTGGAAGAGGACTGTTCTGCAGTTCACTTGCTTGTCTTTATCGTTCCTCGGTTGACTTAGACTTGAAATAAAGGCTTCTTTTTCCATACTAGAGGAGGTCTCTTCTGTATGTGCAGTCAGAGGCATAAAAAGCAGATCCAGGCTCCTGTTACTGAAGAGTTTGGATTTGGCTCCTGCTCTGGCATTAGCTCTCTGCTTACCCCCATTGACCTTTCCTGGGTCTGCATGTAGCAGCCCTGCCACTTAGAGCTTTCTGATGTGCAGGTCTTGTCAGCCAAGTTCCTTAATTCTGCTTTTTCCGGAGATATCGATAGTTGTGTACAAAACTTCACAGTCCCTACAGCAGCACCCTCTCTATTTTAATTAAAAGAGGGAATCATTACAAAAATAAGATAAAAGCTCGGAGTTGAAATAAAAACACCTTGTGTTTTGGTCTTTTGATGTATAAAACACCTAAAGTTTAAAGCAATCATGTCTTACTCGCATAGGTGTGGTTTCCTTCTGGGTGAATGTTGTCTTTTGTAGACTTCATTTATTTTCAATGTTTTTCTCAAATAGGACAAGTTAAAAAAGATTTAAATGGAATAGCTTTTGTGTCTTACTAGTACTGTATTTAAAGATCAGATCTAAAAATTCCATTTCCCAGCTCAATGGGAAATGAGATAGAAGAAGATAAGGATGTAGTAAAGTTGAGAAGAATGTTTACTAAGTGGTTAATTTTTTTTTCCATGCAGGTAGCTCAAGAGGCATGCACGTCTGACCAGTCTCAGTCTCTACTGCAGTGAGTATAATGCATCACATAGGAATTCTGGTCAGGCATACTGTAGTTAAACAATTCTGTTATACCTCCATTTGTATATTCTCTTATTCTCAATGTTCTACTGTGATGCAGTTTTCTTGTTTGCTTAGTGAAGGATCTGTATTTATGTCCGGGGTAGTTCTGTGTCCAGTATGGGTCAAACTGTACCTTACTTGTTTTTATTGATGATGTTACCTTTAGTGGTATAAGGTCATAAGCAACAGGAATGACAATAAACTACTCAGGGAAAACCACTAGACAAATAAACAAAAATTGTAATAAATAGTATTAGACCTTTTGTTCTTAGAAGCTACAGAGGATGGATTTATAATAGAAATGCTGAAAGAAGTAATAAAAAATGGGAAGGGCCATTTTTTCACTTAGAGATGAATGTACAAACATACCTAGCTCCATTAGAAAATCCGGAAGTCGTAGTTACTCTATGTCCTTGTAAAGAGAAGTATGCCTCTAAAATAACTACAGTTGTTTCCACAAATAATTCTAAGTGCAAAACTGCATAAATAAAGTACTGTAGAAATTTTCTTAAGCTGAGCAGATAACAGTTCTTCCTGAATAAGAACATTTTCCTGTATTATTTAATTCTAGGGGTTGGATTAACTTTCCATCACTTCCTGAAAATATTTCTAAGCCTGGTTTTGCACTAAATGCTGCAGTAGAGGGACAACAAAATAATTCTGTAGGTATGTTGTATTTTGTACAAAACTGAAAGTTGCTTTAGCTGTGGCAAATTCATTTGAGAAGCTGAAGATGAGTAACTGCATAGGTTTATTTAGACTCTGACTGTATGTGACCTTTACAATAGCTGTTTAGTTTTCATAGTGGTTTTGGACTACAAGTTACATTTTTGTAAGCATTCTGTTAGCACTGACTGAAAAAAATAACTGTTTTCCTAAGCCAGTTCTGTTTCCAGCTTAAAGTTATTTCATTGCCGTGGAATTTTCTGACAAAAGTTACAGGCCACATAGTACTGAAGTGCCATGTGGATGTGTAAGGTAAGCATGGGTATAACAGTCATGGATAGTTCCTACACACTTCTTACTAACATATCCAACAATCAAAGACATCTGTAAGAAAGAAGAAACAAAAATGCTACTGGTCGTTTCCCAGATCCGTCTGTCACTGGCTGCTGCTTCTGTTGTACTGCCCTTCCTCCGTGCTTCCAGCAGTGCAGGCCTGTCCCATCTTTTGAGCTAATTTTTACCAACCCAATAAAATCCATTCACTTTATTTCTTATTAGGAAGTTCCCAGGGAGTCACATGAAGGTCAAAACACGGTGGTGGGAGCAGGGGGGTGGGGACATCCCTTTTCAGAGGCAGTAAGTTACTGATTGATTTGCCTCTATTGTCTCATTGCATTGTAATTACAGAGGGCAGGGGATAGGTCTCATCCTGTGGAATGGGCGGCAGTTCTGTCTGCTGGTAGTCTTTGGAAACACAGGCCTCTAAACTACGGTGAAGAAATGTCACAGAGTAGCCCTGGAATATGATTTGGTGACTAACAGAGCCTAACTACAAATCTTATTGTCAACTCTGCTTGAGAACATGACTATACAAATTTTTAAGAATGGCTGAAACTTCAACCTTAATTGGAAGTGAGGCTATTTTATTAGAGATGATGATAATTTTCAGAAGTGGAATTCAGTGACAGTATAACTGAAATATTTATTTACTCTCCTAAATATAGATATCAATTTGAATGGAGTTCAAAAAGATTCAGAAGAAAAGGTTAGTGTATTTTTACAACTGAATGTATATAAAATATCATTTAATTTAATTAGCATTAGAGAATATTTTACTGAAAAATATGTAGTTCTTTCATTTTAAAAAGCAGGCATGTAGCTGTTGAAAGTGACACTGTGCTCATTAGGTGAAAACAGCTTAAGAGCTAACCTTTATTTTCTGCTTTTTGGGTAGGAACTGCAGTTACTAAGCTTGCAAGGCTCAAGGGCAGAAGGATGGCAATAAAAGTGTAGTAGGAAAGACATCATCATGACACAGAATCTACAAGGGCTACCACTTAAAAGTAATGAAGATAAACATCCAGTGGTCAAATGTTTGCTTTCTTCCTCTCCACTTCCCCTCTTCCCTTTTTCCTTCTAGCACTCCCTCCATTCTTGCAGTCAGTGAAGTCCAAGCTGCAGTTAAGTACTGGCAGCATTTCATGAAGGAGTATTTGGCCTTTGCCTGTGTATCACGTGTCTGTATGCTGCCATCTGCAACCACGACATTACTTGTGTCTGCTGTGCTACCTCTGCGTTTTTATTGCCTTTTGTTGCCCCTCTGAGGCACAGTGCCTGCCCTCTTTGTGCTTTTTGATTTCTGGTCTCAGTTCATCCCCGACTGGTTCATTCCTTTCAGGTCTGTGGATGCTGTCATTGAAATGTGCTCTGTTGCTGTTTCTGCAGCAACAAGTAACTGCTATCACCAGCTCCTATTGCAATGTTATGGACAGTTTTGGGAATTTCTGCAGCACTAGTGACATCAAATGTGTGCGTCCAAGAGAAGTGAGAGGATCATACTGGGTACATGTAACGCTTGCTGCCATCTGCAGCTTCATCAGAAACCTCACATTAACTTAGAAAAGGATACCAGTTCCAGTATTTCTTCTCTGACTTTCCAGTGTGGAGCAATTTACAGCAACATGCAGTGTAATCATCTGCTGATATAACCTGCTTAACGCAGAGGCCAAAGCATTATGACTGCTTCATTTAGTACAATAGATTTGGACCTATAAGTAAAAAGTTAGAATTCTGTATAAATCAATTTTACTTTTATTTGGTTAAGATTAATGATGGGAAAAAACAGTACTGCTAAAACTGTTTCACCAAAACCAAATTTGAGACCAGTATGGTGAATTGTTCATGTCTTGTAGCAAATAAGATTGATTACGTGGTCAGGTATCCCTTGTCTCAGAACAAAGGAAAAAGATTGAAATCCCCTAGGCTGTTCCTTTCTGAAAAATGTATAACTACCAATAAAAAAATATAATACCAAGTTTATTAGGTGAAACATTCTTTGTACAGAATTAATTAAAGACAAAAAAATCAAAATGCCTTGAAACAAAGATTATCTATTATTAATAGCCTCTGGAGAGTAGGCAGATTGAGTGCATTGAGAACGTCTCCCAAGATGAAATTTTAAGAGTCTGGACTAAGAAGGTTGGAATTAATCACTTTTAAAAGTGAGTTATACTTTTTGAAAATTGGCTGATACTGGCACTGGCAAGATCTGAGTGCTACAGGAAGATCTCTTGTGAGAGGAACCAAAGGCGATCACAGGCTGCTGTGTACTGATTTGCAGAGAGGCAGGACAGACACATTGGCAACCAGAAGTGAGCCACTAGGCATGTTAGTTTTGTATATCTATTCCTAAAAATACAAGAGAAATTCATTAATTAGCATAGTCTCTATATAGAAGTCCTGACACCAGTTAAGTCTTGCTGTGTTTTCTTGATGTTCTGGCGTAGCAGCTCTGATTCCTGTTGTGGTTAGTGTGTAAATAGTGGAGCCAGTATTGGACAACATCCTCATTAATGGCCTGAAAATAGAACAGAATGCACCCTGGGAAAGTTCAGAGGTGGTACTGGCAGGAGTGACTGAAACAACAGATGGTTGTGTTGCCATTCAGAGGCAGGTTGGAGAACTGGGCAGAGAGGAGTCTCGTTACATTCAATAAAGGCAGATGCAAAGTCCTGCATCTGCACAGCAGTAACCTCAGGTACTGGTATGTGGTGGGGACTAACTGGCTGGAAAGTAGCTCTGCAGAGAAGGACCAGGGATCCTGATGGACAATAAGCTGGCCATGAGCCAGCAAACACCCATGTGGCAAAGACAGCAAACAGTATCGCAGCCTGAGTCAGGAAGAGTGTTGCTGGCAAGCTGAGGGAAGTATTCCTGTACTTGGAAGTGGTAGGGCCGCCTCTAGAGTACTGTGTCCAGTTTGGGTCCTCAGTACAAGAAAGATAGAGACAGACTGACGTGAGTCCAGCACAGGGCCACGAAGATGGTTAAAGGACTGATGGATCTTTCATATGAGGATAGACTTCTCGACCTGGAGAAGGCTCAAGGGCATCTTACCAATGTGTATGAACACCTGACAGGAAGGAATTAAGATGAGGGAGCCAGACTTCTCAGTAGTACAAGAAGCAATGGACACAAATCCCATCTGAACACAACTCTCCCCAGTTTTTAACTGTGAGGGTAGTCAGGCACTTGAAAAGGTTGCCTGGAGAGGTTGTGCTTTCTCCAGCTGTGGAGATACTCAGAACCTGACTGGACGTGGTCCTGGGCAACCTGCTGCATCTGACACTGCTTGGAGAGTGAGGTTGGACTAGCTAATCTTGAGAGGTCTCTTCCAACCGTAACTGTTTGTGATTCTCTGCATCCCTCATGCCCCAGTGTATTGCAGTAATCTGAAGAATTTCAGCATTCTCACAGAAGCTGGTAATGTTGATCCTCCTGAAGCTGTAACTTTTTTGTAGTGATGCTCTTATATGTACGTTTCGAAAGGCTGAACTACTCTGCTGTTGTTTGACTCAGAGCTAGCAGATACAGGAGTCCATTTAACATTTCCAATCCACTCTTACTATTTATGCTTTGGAATTATTCAGTCCAGTTTTGTAACATTACAAGCCACAGTCTGTGTCACCCAGTAACCACCAATTTCGTGATAACTTTTTAATTGTTTCAAACATGTGGAAAAAATAATTCTTACACATCAAGATTCACCAAGGTGATGTGAATGTAATGGCATCTGCTGGAGGTGGAAGGCCAGATTTAAGCTTGCCCATGTGGCACACAGGGAGACATCTAAGGCTTGCTTAAGCCTGTCTTGATCACTAGTCTTTGGTGCAGTGAGTTTATTAACACACAGTTTTTGTATCTACAGTCAAGTAAATTTTTTTTTTTTTTTTTTTAGATGGGATCTCTGCTTGACTTCCCTGTGCATCTGCTTCCTGTGGTGCAAGGTTCTGCATTAGATGAGGCTGGAGTTGATTGTGGCCAGGCCTAACTGTTACCCAGTGTGTGTTTACTGGGTAACATGGTAATACGTAACATGGTGACAGGAGATTCTGGGCTGATGCTAGAAGATCAGCAGGATTTGCGCCTGGATTAAGGAGCGCCTTGATTTGAATTTTTACTGGGAATAATTGAGACCTGAGGATAGTGGGATTTAATCAAAGCTTTCGAAGTAGTGTGCTCATGCTCAGTGGAAGATATGCACAGATGCCATAAGATGGTTGGCATTCAAACCTAAAAAGAATTAGCATCCTTATGATACCTGTTTCTTTGGCATTCTTACATAGCTGCCCCTTTTTGAAATGAGTTGCTTGAGGCACATTTCTTCTGGTGAGGGATGGACCTGACCTTGCATTTACACAATGTTGATATTTTACTGCTGAGCTACTGACTGAAAGGGAATCCTGCTCCTCCTCTGAGTGAAACTTAGGTGTGTTTGAACCATACTTACCAGACTGTGGTTCACAAGAGAGAGGACTCTGGTTTTCACTTCCCAGCTGGCTCAGCCCTGCACATTCAGCAGCTCCTCTGTTCCCTTTCAACAGATCAATTGAAGGTACAAGGATCTTAGGTACTGGGGCTTTAAGTGTCTTTTAGGATGAGTGACAGCTGAGGATGGGTTTTGAGGAGGGAAGGTTTTGACTTTTATTATGTTTTGCACATCTTAATTGCTAGTAGAGCGAATCCCGTGGGATTTTGCCAACAGAAATGAGTGCTAAAGAAATTTAGGTACCTGTAGTTGGATGGGGGGCATTGTGAACACCAGTCAATTTTAAGTGTTGAATTTCAGTTCACATTTGGGTTTTCAGTATCTTGCAAAATTAGTAATTTATGCCTGCGTGATCCTTCTAGATTAATATAAATGCAAGTTTCCTCTGCCTTTCAGCGAATGCACCAAGCCTTTTTCTTAGGAAATCTATAATAGGCATACACGCTGTTTATACCACAGTTCTTCAAGTACAGAAAGTTATGCCAGTGGGTTTTTTCCCACTTGTTTAAAGTCTGCACAAATTAGAGAATTGATCTAAAAAGAAACTGTAATTCAATACAGCAAACTAAAAAGTGGTCAGTATTTAAGAAGGAACAAGCAAACATACAAGATAGGAAGCAGCACACTGGGAGATAATTTTTCAACAAAGAATCAGGGATTTATAATGGCTTACAAACTGAATGTGAGTCAATGCTGTCGGAGTTCTCCTCTTTCTGTTTTACTGTTTGTGAGCTTTAGCAAAAGTATGTTACAAATGGTTAAAGGATTCTTGCGCTGCCCAGTATTGCCACGTGCTGGCAGCAAGAGTCTAAAAATGTTTTTGAAGAGATTATCTTAAGATCCAGTATTACTAAGCAACACTGCTGTTATACACAAATATTATATAGAAAAGAAATGGTTTAGATCTCCTGAGGCATCTGATTTTGTCCTGCAGAAGCATTTGAAACAGGTAAAAAAAAAAGAGAAAGCTATTAATTGGTATAAAAGTGGGTGCATGTGTTGAAGGCAGCTCAAAGTGATTAGAAAAACAGTAGCAGTATTACTTTTCCAAGACCAGCTGTGATTTTGTGGTTTTGTACTCAGTGTGGAAAATCAAATGTGCAGCCTTCAAACATACTCCTAAGGTTTTAAACTGAAACTTGTGACGCACAAGTGCTCCATACCTATGTGCAATCCACATAAATGTATAATCAAAACTCATATATTGTGTTTTAGTAAATAGGCTTTTTATATTATTATGAATATGCTGGCTTTCATTGTGTCTGGGTGGCAGGATTATTTTTTTTTCCTTTTTCTTGTAAAGCCCTTTAGCACCCCCAGGTCATTGTCAATAGCATATCTTTGGCTTTGTAACAGACTTAGTCTCTCTTACTCTGAATTTTCACTGCTAGGGAAGTCAAAAGCTGAAGTGTGCTACTTTTGAAACAGGCCTCAGTCTAACCCTTGTTAAGAAGTTGTATGACTTCTTAGGGAAGGCTTTGAGTCTTGTAGTTTATGCAAAAATTACAAATAAAATATATATGTTTATATATGGATGACTTCTAAAGCGAAAATTACATGCTTTTAAAAAGAGTTGTTTTATTTGTAATTAAGATCTGTCTCCAAAAATAAACCTCTGTCTGGATGTCCTGCTGAAGGATATAGATTGAAATGATTGTAACAATTGAAAAGGAAGAGACAGCACAAGATACATTTCTGGATGATTTAGAAGATTGCCAGAGAACCTGCATGACCATTATGGACACAGATAACAGAGTAAAAGAGCATTCCTCTAATAATGATTCAGATCTTTCAGTGACATCCCCAGGGAAGATTTTCATGGAAGCATTTACTGAACAGAATATAGAGACTGGTGAATTTGAAATCAGTGATTTGTTGAGATCCCCCAGTGATTCTGAGAGTCTTAAGATGATAACCCCATTGCCTGACCAGTTAGAGTGTCAGGGTTATGCCTCTTTCGTTGATCCATCAGCAAAAGAGAACAGTGATGCCCTGCCAGTACAGCCTGTGACAGCTCTGAATGCCTTGTCAGCATCTGTAGTGCCAAATGAGAGACAGTTTAACACTGAGGGAGAGCAGTTAAATTCAGAACCTGGTATTCCCCAGTCAGATGGTGACTGTACACAAATAACAAACATGATTGAGCCTCAGCTTGCTACAATTAAGGTGGAAGAAATAGAAGCCTTAACAGGATCTAACTTGCAGGGACAACAAATGAGCAAGTATATACACAGTTTAATTAATTGAAAGTTTATGTTTATGATAAAATATTTTATAGAATAGCCAAATTACTTGGAGAGTGAATCTTAGTAAAGAATAAGCTGTCACAAATAATTTTCATGTTTAATACTTTTTAGTTTTTAAAGACTAATACTGTTTTTTTTCTGTTTTGATACATCCATGTTATGAACATGTCTGAGCTTGCTGGGATGGAAAATCCTAGTAAAATTAATTCAGTGACTGACATGGAAATCTAGAATCAGCATGGGAGCTTCAAAAACTGGATCCTCTGCACATCTTCTATGCCTCATATTCTCTCCAAGGAAAGTTCCAAAACACTGTTCTGTTCTGTCATTTCATTGTAGCACATTGGCGCATACCATGCAATTTCAACTCTAGGTTCCTACCCCATCTGGTTCTGTTTTTTCTCCAGACTATTGTATGCTGTTTTCTGCTATCATAGCTCTCACTGCTGTAGCATACTGATGCTTTGGAAGTATTACAAAAGAAATCATAGCTATGTCTTTCCTATAGACTAGAAAGATTACTTATGGGCATTTTTTACACCCATATTTAGAAGTGCATTTATTTTGTTTTGTTCTGCCTATGTGAAACTCGCTAAAAAAATTGAGTTATGGTTTTATGTTTACGTCCTCCCCTGAAGAAGCTAGTATGTATGGAAACAACGCATGACCCTTCTTTCTGTTTTCTTCTCTTACCCTGTGCTGTTCTCTCCACAATGCTGTGTCCTGTGCTGGAAAGGTGATCTGGAATAGGTCATTTGGATTCAACAACACAAATACAGAAATCCAGAGAGGAACTTGAAGGGAAAGCAATGCTATAATCTCCTGCTGTTTAGGTTGTAATAAGGGAAAGAGAAGGACACGTAGGAGATGTATGTTTGTCCTGTAGAGTGTAGCAGACATCCGTTGTAAACCTGAAATCAGATTCTCTGCTCTGTGTTGTCTTTGAATAATCTGAAGCTGCAAATCAATGATCAACCATGCATAACTAGGCATTTAAGGTGGCTTTACAGCCACTTTGCTTCCCCATGATGCCATAAAGCATCCAAAGACTGTGAGTTAATTGTATCTGTTGCTGGTAGCATTAACTGCATATAACAGTACATAATAAAAGGTGCCACAAAGGTAGCTAATTTCAAGGTGCTGAAAGGTCTCTAAGCTAATTGTCTCAGAACCATAGCAATTTACAAAGCCTTTTCAGTGAAGCATTGATTTCTGAAATTTGTAGCAGAGCTGTGTGAAGCTTAATGTATAGATTTACTCAATATTGCAGTTAGGATTGTGAATCAGGGCCCTGTGGGAATGGGGATCTATAAACTCTTGTTGATTTTAGTGGTTTTTTGTGCCGCCATCTGCTCTTTTTGAACACAGACATTAGGGAGGCAATTTAATGAGGAAGAAATCCCAGTTAATATTTTAGTAACTGTTGCATTCTGACAGATGTTGTTCACCTTGGTCTGGTCTCATCCTTGTTTGTCGTGAAACAAGTACCCAAAAAGATGAGAACCTGTACCATCCTGATGCATTCAGGATGCTGGATAACCCATTTATTTTAATATATTTTAACTTACAAAGCAAGTTGCTTATTATTCTCTTGGAAATGTTTTTGTCGTCTTCTCTGACCCTCCTCCCATAGCAGATGCAATGCCATGGAAAATACTACATTGAAACTTTTGTAAACTGAAATATTTGGTTCTCCCCAACTGCCATGTTAATATGCATTATCTCTTGCCCTGGAGGGACCACTCCTAGGAATGCAGTTCACCTCTTCAGTAGCCTCTCTGCCTAATATGTTAATTGAAAAAAGGTAGTCAGTGAATCCTCCGTTTCCATCTGTGTCCTGAGAAAGGACTAACAAGTTCTCCCATGTTACTGTGAAAAAATTTGTGTGTAGTGTGCTGAGGTGCGCCGAGGGCTTTCAGCATTACTCCAATATGTAATAAGCTAATGAGTACCCGGGTTCCAGCAACTTGAGTGACACTCAGCAGCATGTCACACTCACTTGAACAGTGAATAAACTCGAGTAATTCAGATTAACTCCCATGTGATGACGTATCTTTAGGGTGGGATATCTCTCCCTAAGTGTTAGATAAGCCTCTGGTATACACCAGTCGTTTAGGTTCCCCTTTGCGTAACTTAGGACAAGGTGAATCACTGTCATCTCTGATAGTAGCTCTTCTTCCCCAGTGGTAGGGGTAATGAGAATGCCTAGTGTCATCTAGTGCCTGGCTTTTAGAAGGCAGAAGGTAAGTGATATGAACCTCATCTGTGGTGGCTGTACCTCAGGGATGGTGTGTCTGCAGAAGGCTTCTCAGCTGGGAGTTACTGAACCTCAGGTGGAAGACAGTTCTTGATCTTGTGCACATTTCTAGGCTTCTGCAGGAGAGAGATAAAATGGACTGTCTAAGACATCTTCAGCGTTACTTTATTTTTTAGGACAGGAGCTCATGTCCATAGGAGACTGAAGTGAGTCCGTTAAGTCATTTCATATATGCCCAACCGAACAACTTTCAGATAGTAGCAACTTCTGTTTGCTGTCAGCCAACCTATATTTGTTATTTAAGTTGTGATTCTGAGTATCCTAATTCCCTTCTCTAATTCTGCCAGGGGCACGTGGTGTGACACACTACTTTAGGAGTGCCTCTCGTATGGCAACCTCTGGCTCTCGTATCTGTATTATTCACTTAAGCAATCCCTCCATTGCCTGTAAGCACACATGCAATTTATAAGGCAATGTTCTTGTTATGTATACAGCCCTTGCTTTAACTGCATACTTCCAGTTGCTTGTAATATTTCTTTTTTTTTGTCACAGCCTGTGGTTGGTCAGCAGAGAGAGAAAGAAGCAATTTCAGATTACTGCATAGCCACCTCTAGTGAAAAGCAAACTGAGGAGGCAAGGTCACATTCAGTGGAGGCTGCAGCATGTGCAGAAACAGCCCAAACAAGATCAAGGACAGCGATGCAGTTGAGAGAGACACCCTCAAGGAAGTGCAGAGATCATGTTTCCAGTCATTGCCAAATACTAGATGAGACTCAGCAGGCGAAGTCTCACAGTGGCATTACAACAGGAAACAAAGCTAAGGATTTTGAGTATGATAAAATCATGCATAATATTCTTAAATTATTTTTTTTACTTAATGTAACAAGTGCATTGTATACTGTACTCATTCCTCATCTGATGACTTTAAATGATGAAAAGGTAAAGGTTTTACCTTTTATTTAAAGATCTGGAAGTTAGTTACTCCCTATTTACTCCTTATTCAGTACTACTTAACCTATGTACTTGCATACCATTACAGACCTCCTTTTAAAATGAAATATATTCTTTACTATAAGCATCAGTTTATATAGAGAAGAATAAGCAAATCTCTCTTGTTAGCAAAATTCAGAAATCTACTTCTAAAGACAAGAAGAATCTAGAAACCAACATATGCCAAGAAGTAACTCTGAATGAGAATAGAAAAGTTGACCAGAGAAGAAGAAGCAAGAGAATTGAAAACAAACATAGTAAGATACTCTCTGATGTTTATCATACAGATTATTTTTTATTTGAAGAACTGTACTGAATCAAATATAATTTATAATCTTTCCAATGTCTTTTGACATGGATTTCTTTTGAAAAGGTGATAGAAGCGCTCATTGTAATAATTAATATTATTTATAATTTCCCTCACTTGTTTAAGCCTACATATTAGCAACGTAACAGTTTACTTGTTTGCATAAACTCATTAAGAATCATGATTTGTTTTAGGATTTTTACCACAGTGTTATATATGAAAAAATTATAGTGTATTCTGAAAAGTAGAAGAAAAAGAAGAAAAAGGGGGGAGATTTAGATTAGATACTAGAAAGAAATTCTTTACTGTGAGCGTAGTGAGACACTGGAACAGGTTGCCCAGGGAGGTCGTGGATGCCCCATCCCTGGACGTGTTGAAGGCCACGTTGGATGGGACTTTGAGCAACCTGGTGGGAGGTGTCCCTGCCCATGGCAGGGGGGTTGGAACTAGATGATCTTGAAGGTCCCTTCCAACCCAAACCATTCTATGATTCTGTGATTCTGTGAAAATGTTTTCATGCACAGTGAAAACATAGATCCTGATACACATTTATATGTCCTTCTGTAATCTGGTATGCTGTGTGCAACATCATTCTGAGGGCAGTGCCATCCCCAAGAATTGACCTACACAAACCAGCTCATTCTGTTTTGAATGCCTGCTGTTGTTATCCTGTTTTAAATATAGGATTATAGGGCTGTCACTACCACAGTCACGGTATTGAGAAGTGTAGGAGAATACAGAATTTCCTTGCTTAAGTGCTCACTCCATCTCCATTAGGATTGGGGTCTTAAAAGGTGGGGTTTTTTTAAACTAAGCCCACGCAGTCTGGATTTATCTGTGCACTTAGAATAATTTAAAAGCTTCCAAAGTTTGAAAATACTTGAACTGTAACAGCTACATTATAGATCTTACAAAATATGAATCATTCTACCTCCAGTTAACAACCCTTCTCTTTTGCAGAGTTTTAATTATTCCTAGTGGAAACACCCTTTTTAAAGATTTAAAGTTGTATGACTACCTGCTCATCTATTTCTAATTAACTTACTAGTTTCCACTAAAAAACCAAGCTGTTGGTTTTTTTAGCATGTTTTGTGCAGAATCAGTTGCACTGTCTATATAGGTAGCTTTGCTTTAATCCAAACTAGCAAATTTGGATTACCTCCCTTTAGCATCAGACCCAGCTATCATGAGTTTGTGTGTCAGTTTAGTTTGATAATTTACAGAAGACACAACCCACAAAAGTTTTCATCACTTGTTTTGCACAAGGTCAGACATGAGGAAGGCGGTAGGGGAGGCAAGGTAAATATGATGGGAAACAGGTCCTCTTGAAGTAACAAGTTAAATTGGGTCAGGTGTAACATAGACCTGTGCCTTGTTCTTTATGAGTCTGTGTGGTTTAATTCCTTCTGAACTGCTTGGCTCATTTAAACCGGCTTTGACTAGGGACTGCAGTATCTTAAACAATTAAGGTCTTGCAAGGCTGGAGAGGTAGAGGGGAGGGACTGTCTGTGTGCTCAGCTGAGGGAAGGTCCCGGGTAAACTCGTGTCTATTAGATTCTAAAAATCCACAGTCAAGAACTTAAGAAAGTTGGGAGTTAGTTGAGCTCACAGTATATCACTGTGCACAAAACAACAGAGACATCAGGCTTTGTGAGTTACAGCTCTAGGGATAACTGTGTTTTAAGGTCATACTTAAAATTCCTGACACCTATGTGGAGTTTTAGGACCAGCGAGCCACATCTGCTACATTTTGTGGAGAGGGGCAGTGTATATGGCCTGTTTCTCCCTGCAACCCCAAGTTTTTTCTTTAGTATATCAATTAATGGCTGAGGACATGCATTGTGCTCTCCTGCAGGTGACCACCTGTGCTTTCCTTCTTCCTATCTTTCTTCCCTCCATCTTTTTTAGAAGAGGCTACTGCCTGGAAGGCCTGGATGCCCTTCGCCACTTTGTGAAGGGATGATGGGATGGTACTGCTAGTGTACAGAAGTACAGAACAGCTCATTTGTGTGTTGGAAACAATTTCACCCAAATGGAAAACTGTAATGAGTGTATAAGGGAAGATAGTGTCTGTTCTTTAAAATTAAAAATTAAAACCAGTATCTTTTACATTTATTTTTTACATTTAGGCCTCATATTTCCAAACGACTCTGCTTATTGCAGAAATGGCTGAGCCGGGCTGGTTGTGAAGTAATGGGGAACAGTAATCTGAGAGCACTAATATCAATCACTATCCTAGTGTAAATACTCCCTACTCACAAAGCAGAGGTTTTAAAACATAAATGAGTAGAACAGGGCTGCTGAGAAGTTTGACTTTTAAGAAAAGGAGAATTATTGAATAATTAACTAGCTACTGAAATGCTCATCTTATAATGAATTGCAAGCTAGAATAGCAGTTTTATCATCCAGTGGGCAACAATGCACTTTGCAAAAATGCCATTAGAAAGGAAAATTTCTAAACTTAACACACTTTTACAAAGTCATATTCCTGTCTGTTGGATTTGAGTTGGAGTTTTCTTACAGAATTCACTATGACATCTTCTATTGAATGGTATTGTTACTTAATTGGTAATTTTTTTTAAGGTAGTAGTTTCTACTAGGTTGAATGACCATTGTTTCTCCGGAAAATTTAGTTATTAACTGTAATGCTAAGTGAAGCCAAAGCAAGAAAGGAAAGATACTCTTCTGTTCAACAGATCTTTCGCGTTATTTTTCAGGACAAGAAGCCCTTCCTAGGAATTCTGTTAATCCTGTTTGCCCTATTTCACTTTCAACAGTTAATAGGAGGGATACTTACGGTGAGTTTGTGCAGTCGACAAGACTATGGGTTTGTGACTAGTCAGTAGATTATTAAATTTTGATTGGTTTAACAAACATTTGAACAATTTGATTGAAGCAATTCAGAGTATCCACCTTCATTTGTGATACTCTGTGTCAAAGACATTACCACACCCTAAAGTGTTGTGATTTTTTTTATCCTTTTTATTTCCTGGATGTCATCACATAGGATATGGACAGCATGAGAGAGATACTGTCTGTGTTCTCTATTTGAATTTTGATTCACAGTGCCTTGAGGGAGCTAAGAACAGCTGCAATGTAACTTGTGTTTCTTCTTGGTCTAGAGTATGCACAGTGACCCTGGCAACCCTTATGTTGCTAAATTCTAATGATTATCAATTGAGCAATTTTCAGGTTCAGTTGTTCTGGGGCTTATTAGTGTATCAGATACTTTTCACTGAGGGAGAAATAGGTACTTTCCCTTAAGTGAACCTTTTTTATGCTCCCCTTAACAGGTTTTAAGCTTTTGCTCCAGAATATGGAGTTACTAGAGTTTCTTAATGAAATAGGCTCTATAAAATGCAAGTGTAATGTTTTCTAGATGATACTGTTAAAAACCATTCATCTTGAAACATTGTCAACATTAAGCAATGTAGTTAAAATTTAGTTGAGTTTCAAGCATCCGGGATCAAAGCACAAAGTTTTTGGACAACCTGATGCAACATCCCGTGCCCATAATAAACTCAATTCTATAAAAATACACAATATTCTGGGTTGGGTAGTGTTTAAAAGAGCCTCGAGAGTTTCGCTTTCCAATGAAAGTAAGATAATTTTGCTTAATGGGAGCAGAACAGTCTTAATAAGCCTAATTCGCATGTTAGTTCACATATTTAGTATGTGAATTAGGCCCAGACAGCCTTCTGATTATGGGAGATGGTTGGAAACTGAGGCTGTCCATCAAAATGGTCTTCTGGAGGTGATGCTGGTTTGAGAACTGGAAGATAGGAAGTAGAAGATCCTCTGTCTCTTTCCCTTAACTTTCTACAAAATCTGTCCCATAGTGAATATTTAAGGAACTGATGCAAGGCTTTGCTAAACCCAGTTCAAAGATTTGCATTTCATCTTTTATTTTTCCTCAACACCCTCTTCATGGAGTAGAATTGTTTTGTGGGTCATGAAGCTCATATATCGTTTATTTCCATTTTGCTGGGAGTGGATATAGAATTGCTAGTAATTCCATGGGCTTCATTGTCTCATGCCTGAGTACCAATGACCAGTCTTTAGCCAGCACAGTTGCTGTACATTGGCAAAGTATAAAAGGTCATGATGTCCACCTTTTCCTTGTGCTGGAGCTACCTTTAAATTTGAAATGAAGATGTGAAGCACAGTAGTTGTAGCCTATCTAAATGTAAGATGGGGGATAGATGGACTTGCTCATGGTTGAGCTATGACTTAGAGCTAGGGATAAAATTTGGTTCTAAACTGGCATCGAGCCTGAATTTTGATGGATCTGTAAGATAAATAATGGAGGATCTAGGATTAGATTTAGATCTTAGGGGTTGCCAAGCCTTAACTGCTTATCCTTAACTGCTAGCATTAGGGCTGAGACTAGGGTAATATTACTGTAGGTAACAGCTAGTGAGTTTGCAAGGGGTTGCAGGCAAACATTTTGGCAAAGGCAAGAGTTGAATCTTTTACAGTCTTAGGAACTAAACTGAGAAGAAGTTTCAGAAGAGGCTGCTTTGTCAGAAGCAGGTACAAGGAATTGCTACGAAATAAGCCTTGATTAGTGTTAGAACTAAGACTCTTGGACACCAGTGGGCCAGTGTGGGCTGTCTGGAAGGAGTCTCCAGCCCTCAGACTATTACTCATTATTAGTCTTCCATGTGGGTGGTGATGAAGCCACAACGCATAGTGCAAGGGCAATCAAAAGAGACTTTCAGGGCCATGGGAAAGTTGGTAAGGGACTCTGGTGCACAGGTAATTTTCTCCTCTTCCCTTCCAGTTGTGGGCGATGACATTGGAAGAAGTAGATGGACCCAGTCTAGTAATACACGGCTCCATGGCTGGTGTCACCACCACAATTTTGGTGTTTTTGGTAATGGGATGGACTGCACTGCACCAGGCCTGCTGGTGTCGGATAGGATTCACCTTTGTCAAAGGGGAAAAAGGCATTTTGTTGATGAGTTAGTGGCATTCATTGACTGAGCTTCAAACTAGAACTGGAGGGGAAGGAGAATAACATCAGTCTTGCCTGTGACAAGCTGTAGGATGACACACCAAGGTTATAGGGATGGGGTGGTAGCAAGGGCCCTCAGCCTGTTGCTCTGAGTTGTGCTGGGTACACTGGAGCACACTTGGAGTCTTACAGAGATGAGCCAGGGGCTCCTCGGGTAATAGGAGTCAACAGGGAAACACCAAGGAAATACCTCAAAGTAATGAGGTGTGTTCCTCTAAAAAGGTGACACAGCTGACAGCCCAGCTGAAGCACCTCTACACCAATGCATGCAGCATAGGCAACAAACAGGAGGAGCTGGAAGCCAGCATGCTGATAGAAAGCTACTACCTAGTTGCTGTAACTGAAACTTGGTGGGCTACTTGGTGGCTACTGTAAGAGATTAGCCTGAGAGGGTCTGCTGTATTTGGGACGTCCCATGATTAGAGTGACCTCGATATTCTGAGCCTTACAAAGATTGGTGGGCTAAAATTATGACTTGGATTAGGGTTTTGTTTAATCAGTGCCCAATAGCTGTGCCATTTGGCTTAATTTAGGACTTAGATTGCCAGGGTGCAGTGGACTAACAGTGATGTTAAGGCTAGGGATAACATCTAGCATGCCAGATTCCCTGAAGTGGTGGAGAAAGAGTTGCCATGCTGTGAAATGACTGTTAAATTTCAGGCTGGTTCCAACATGGGGTTTTGGTGAATCTTGGGGTTGGGGCTGAGGTTAATGCTGCTGTACAAAACAACAAAGGGTGATGAGCTAGATTTTTTTTTCAGTGTAGTGGGGCTAGCCTGGGTTTAAGAACATGTTAGCCAGAGGTAAATGCATAGAGTTGCATGGATTGAGTATGTTAATATCTATGGTAAGGTTTTGGTAGCTGCTATACTCTTTTTATGCTATTCTGTCAGCATAGATTGTAGCTGGAAAGCTGAAGCAAATGACCAGCAAGGCACTGAATTGGTGCTGGGGAATATCCCTGCTTATTTTTACACCAATGACTTGGCTTTAGCTACTCCATCCCTTTCCAAGCCCAAATATGCTATACAGGGAAAGATGTAAGCTAGGTTGTCATCCCACCAGGACTGGCTTCAGAAGAGTCTCTTGGCGATTAGGGAAGGCTGTGAGAAGCTAGGGAAGTGTAGCTCTTCTAAGTTTCAGAAAGAATTGCTTAGGTCACTAATCTTCAAAAAAATCTGGAAGCATAAAGTCATACTTTACTCTCACCTGTCCTGGTTTGCCCAAGATGCCATCTGCAACAAAGATCAGACTACAAGATTTTAATATGTATTTTATATATTGTTATGGTTTAGATTCTAATGAAGCCCTTATGGCTTGATAATTTTTCTGGATAGCTAAATGTGCTAAGTAATGTTGCATACAACACTGTAAAACATATAAAGTAAAAAATTATGGTCACTTTTCAATTCTGATTTCTTTCTGTCTTTCATTTTCATTTCAGGTAGAGATGATTCAAAGAATATGTCAAATACTCAAAGTGTAGAGGATACAAACCCACACCAGGTACATCTTTACAAAGAATCCTGATGTTATTTTGATGTTGAACTGTTAAGGGCTTGCTAGCGGTGTGCAGATGACTATTTCTGAAACGTGCTTCAAAACCAGCACATAATGTACTAGACGCCTCATACCTAGCAGAGACTGAGACAGAGTGATACTCAGTGTTAAGCCAATTCTTTGGCAGGCAGTTGCTGATCCTTACTGGTACTTCAGATAAGATGGAGGTGCAAGGCAGAGGCAGGCAGTTGCCTCTCACGGACAGTGGTTCTTGCTGAGTTTTTCCAAGTGCTGCAGAGGTCAGTTACAGCAAGCACGGTACATCAGTGCCTCCTTGTACTTACAGAAACCTGACTGAAGCTGCAAGATGTAGCCTGGCCTGTAGCAATAGGGTAGGGGCTTCTTGCCTCTCTTCAGTAGGTTGTGTTGTGTTTTGAGGGTTGGGGGAGCCACTGTTGCACAGGGTGGCACAGTTATGCCATGAGACCTCACTAAACTGGGGAAGCTGGTGCCTCACATGAAGACAAGACACCATGATCACTCGTTTGGGTCATAGCTTGTTTGCATATAGCACAATAGCTTTTGGCATTAAAAGATGTGCTTTCCCCCTCTCATTTTCTCCCCTTTGAGTAATGATAACTGGTAATATCTGGAGCAGTGTGCACAAGCACTTTATTCTTGCTTCCTAAAGTTTTGTGTGGTTGTGATAACTGTCTTTGTTACTCACAATAGTGCAGCCTCCAGTGTCCTTAGAAATGTTATGCTATAGCAGCATTCCTGGTATGTACTCTTAGATTACATTTTTAAAAATTGGCTGATTGATGAAGGATATTTTCCAAGCAGAAGGTATTGTAAACATTTAATTGGGAAAACCTATTTCTGTGGCTTTGCAGTTGATGATTTCAATAGTTGTTTGAGTTATTCTGAGTTATTATTGAGTTCTGATTCTATGTCCAGTTGCAAAGTAAGCAACAGGATAATTCTAGTTAGTCATTGGCCTTTGGGGCAGTTTTGTTGTGAGATTAGCATCAGTTAATTCTGCATGGTTTTGCTGTGTTATTTCCCTTTCTTTATAATTTCCTGGAATCATTGCAGAGAGGTTTGCCAGAAATGTGAAAATGTAGCTCTGGTATATGACTACAGAAGCAATGTAGTTTTAATTCTTTAAAGGCAGAGCATTAATTTGAGACCAGTTCTATTTTCCGAAATAAATAAAAGTGTAAAGCACTTGAGTAATATTTATCATTGGATTTCACCCATTAATTTTTAGGCTTTTACATGCATATTTCTCTAATTTCTTTGTCCTGCTGTCTTAAAAAGCTGCACAGGCAGAGGAAATAAGTTGATTTTACAATAGCACAGTTTTCTTTTAGTATATAATAAAGCAATTTATCAGAAAATGAGATTAAGTATATGGCCTATTTTATGGATAGAATTAAAGGCACATCGCACAGTTCAATGGAATAATACTAAAGCATCAAAGGAAGTTTTGCTAAAAATGAGCAAAGCAGAAAACCAAATTTGGTAAAATACACAAAAATAAAATTCTTCAGGATTCTGAAAACCAAATGAAAAAAAATACAAGTTCAAAAAAGACAAATAGATCTGCTGTTCTCATGGCAGAGACTACAGCCAAGAGTAAAACTATTCAGAAATAATGTCTCATGTTACATGCACTTCATCCTTAGGTCCACTTACAAACCAAGGAAACAGTTAAATTACAGAAAACGTATTTCCCTGATGCTGGACATAATGAAATGGGCCACAGCTGTTGCTGTTTCTAATCATAATTGTTGCATCCCGGTTAATGTTGTAGGAAAACTGAGTCAGACAGAATTTCAACAGGAACATGAATTCAACAGTGGCAACAGTTAAAATCCATTTACAGAAGAACAGGGCAGAACTGGTGGAAGCTCAGCAACTTCTGTTGTAGCGAGAGGAGATCACCAGTTTGCCTTGCCCAACATCAATAGTTTCTGGAGAAATAGTTTCTGCACAGCATTCTCAGACTACTGGTTTAATAGAACTTGATTCTCAGTCTCATAATGTATCTGCTTTAAAGTTATAATAGGAAGTCAAGAGTTAGACAGTGATCAACATAGTCTCAAGCAGAAAAACACTAGTAGTTTAAGGGACAGGACTCTATGTTCCAATACGAGAATACCTTCAGAACAAATTATTTCTTTGAAAAACTTGTCAAATCAAGTTAGATCTGATGTTGACAGAAACAGAGTTGGTGGATCATCTCTAAGTTTAAAACTCTCTTTACCTTTGTTTGAGCAGATTTCCTTACAGACAGATGAGTCAGAACCAGCATGTGCAGACAGCACAGACATATCGCAACAAACTATTGTAAATGAAGTGCAAAACCTTTATACTAGTATGGCTGAAGATGGAACCAGCTGCACTGAACAGACACCTCAAGCAAATGCAGGATCACTGTTAGCACATGAGCTTTTAGCAGCTACTAATGGAGAAAGTGTTTCTGGAAGTCCTTATAATTCTACCAGTGGTCTACGAAGCACCATTGAACAAAATTCCCCACAGCCACAGAAAGGAGGGAGGATCCTGCTTAATGCAGAAGAAAGTGTTGAAGGATGTCATATGGAAACTGAAAATGCTAGCATCTTAGAGAGCGAGCCTGTAGCTTTGCAACTCCCTGAGAAGGGCACTGTTCAACTTACACAAAAGAGAGAGGCTCTTCAGGAGACCAACACAAAAGCAGATTTGAATTTTTGTGTTAATGTACACAGCAAGTCTCCTTATTCATTTCAGATGGTGGAAAACATGCAGAAAGAAACCTCCCAGAAAACAGGTGCCATGTTCTGTTTGGAAATAATGATTATGTGAGTTTTCTGTAAGCATTCTCTGTATTTTGTTAAAAAAACCCCATCTGCTGGTCTCCAGAGAATGTATTTTCCCATTAATAAATAGCAGACACATGGAATGTGTTGTGGTGCAGTGCACTATGCCAGATTAACTAGATTTTTGCTAGTTTCTGTGGTTTTGGGGGCTGTTTTATGTCCAGGTCTCTGTTGTATTGACCAAACGGTGACCACAATCGTCATTACAATAATTAGAATGAAATTCTTAGGTACCTCGTTTTTAATACCTAAGAAACAATAAAGGTCATATTTTCATAAAAGACTCTTTGAATTGTTTTGATTCAATTTCAATACGTTAACATATGGCAAATAGTAGATACAGGATTTCTTATGTTAAAGTCTTTTCAAAAATTGAGTGTATTACTGCAGGCATTTTTTTACCTAGACTATGTAGTCATTTTGACATTCATTTTAATATCAGTTATAATTTCGGAAATTACTGAGTATTATGCCATAAATACTCTTAATTTCTTTTATTAAACAAACAGATGAAGGAGTATTTGCCGAAGTAAGTGGAACAGAAAGCACTGAAAAAAATGGGGAAGAGGAAAATGCGAAGACCAATGTCCTTTCACAGTTTACTGAAACAGAAGAAGTCCAGGCTAAAAGAGTAAGATTACACTCTCCAGAGACAAGCCAAAAGGCAGCCTCTTATTCCAGTAGCATCAAAACCAGGCTTTCATCCACATCACAATCCAGTCAGGCATCAGAACAGCAAACACCCAAGAAATCAGGTGAGAATTTAATAATATTTTATAAAAACAGTGGAGTATTTTCCAGACATACTCGAAGAAGGCTTTTTGTAATACATGAGGGAAAGTTTAGAAAAATACATGTAGCATGTAAAGCATATACTGTAGTGAGTTCCAAATACTTGAAATATTTCCAGAACTTCAGTACTGTATTTTACAGCACATACTTTGTTTTGTTTATCGTACATTCATCAGTCTTTCAGCATTGTGGTTAAGGGGATGCAGGATCATAACTGAGAGCTTAAAATAATATTACATTGATCTTTAGTTAACTGTGTTACGTCAGTGATAGTTTAAAATGACACTGAATTTATCCTCAGTTAACTCTTTTACGTACCACAGATCAAAGAAGAAAACCTGGCTCTCTGTATATTTGCTACACAGATATCCACTTTTATTTTATAGACTATATCCTCATCAGGCACAAATCAGCATGGGTCCTGATTCTGCTGGTACATTTGCTTTTAGCTGTAATATAGAAACAAACCTACTTCTATGAGAGTAAGGTTCTAGTCTCCTCTGTTAGTTATATTATCTTTTGCCTGTATGTACTGCTTTCTGTTTAGCATTTTCATCCCATGTCTATGACTTGCATTTATCTTGTAGCCTTGCCATCACAGTAGAGACTGTCCAGCTGATAACTCATTGTAAGCCCCAAGTATTTTTCATTTGCTGCTTTTTTGTAAAGCTGGCAGTCATCTTTTGTACACTGGCTCTTTCTGGAACCAGAGAACCGTAGCACTCAAGACTAACTGAAACCAAAACCTGTTGTTCAGATGGGATCCCTGCTCTCTTAAAACTTTTAAATATAATACATCTGGACAGATGATTCAAAAATGTTTATCCTCATATCATTTGGCATCCTTCTTAACTTGTGTTGAAATGAAAAAAAAAGTCTCATTAGATGATAGGAATTTCTTGTTTAGCTTTGCCTCGATATAGCATAGAGTATTTTGACTTCTCTGATTATCTTAGATAATTTTGTCGTTTCTCTGTAGTAATCAAGAGTTTGGGAAATATTTTTTCTGGTTTTGATACTAAAATACTACCTTTTTGGGCCTTAGCTGTCTGTGACTATTACCTTGTATTCTTTACTTTTCCACACCAGTTTTCTACAACTCCTTACTTATATTTGCTACTGCTTCCCATTTTTTCATTTCTCATTTATTGTTGCCCTCTAATTCCCTTCTTAAGCCACTTTAGATTTTGAATCCGTGTAACTTTTCATCTTGAGAGTGGGATATGTGCGATATACTTCCAAGCTATTATTCACATTTTTCTGCTGACATTTTTTCTTCAAACTTTCAAATTGTTTCTGGCTTCGTGAAATTTTCCCTTTCAAATAAGTACTGTATGCTTTGTATATACGCGCATAGGAAGAGGTGGGTTTTAATATGTATGCGTTTGTAAAAGTATGTGTAAATGCATGTGTATTTGTGCGGATATAACATTTGATATTTTTTTTTCCACGTGCAACAGAAAACTTTAGTTTCTTCCTTGGACTGCAGTTATATGTTGCTGGCATCAGGTGGTCAAACTTTGGTTGCCTTTGATTGGGATGTAAATGAATGCTTGCATTAAGTAGATCATATATATTTTGAAAAACAGTGGGATTCATGGTCTGCATCCATTAAATGCTTTTCAAACCAATGTACTTAACAGCATGTATACTTCAAATAATATGTATAACAAATATACACGCCCACGCATACACACACATGCACACAATATGCGCAAATACATCTGCGTGCATACTATCAACCTTCTCATTTATGTACCTGGTTTTGTTGTTTTGTTGTTTGCTTAGTACCTTCCTTCTCTTTGGAGACTTGCTATTTCAGTAATGTGACCACTCCATGTGCTCTAGAATCTCAGTTTTCATTTAGAAAAGAAACTCTTTAGCTCTTCTGGTTGCCAATACGGTGTGGGCCAAGCACCCCCAATGCAAAGAGGGCCACCTGAATGTTTTCTGACAGGGTGGAAGAGCCTCCGGGGGCTCCATCCTGCCGTGGTCTGGCTTCAACAGTGGCTGAACGAGCCAGTTTAAAATTAGTATGGATATATCCTTACTACATATCTATCTTTAATATAGTTGAAGTATGTCTTTTGTGTTCTTCCAAACAGTCTTGGATGACAAGCTTAAAGGAAACCTTGGAAAAGCAAATTTTCCAGAAGGCAGGAGGAGCCTGAAGGGTAGGTGTGAAATTATGGAGGATGTTTGATACCAGTGGATACCGATAGATGAAAATATCTGAGAAGACAGCCTGTCTGATGAGAAGAGGAAATGTTTGGGATGCACCAAGTAGTTGTTTGTATGAATAATTAAAAAAACATGTGTAAGAGTTGCAACATACTTATTTAAAACCTTACTCATGCTTTGTTTTTTGGACAAATTACAGATTTTCAAGAAATCTGAGAAAGAATACAGTAAACTTTTTAAAACATCTGATAGCACAGTATTATAACAGCAGGAACATGAGTTTAAAAAAAAAAAAGCTAACAGGCATGGCAGAGCTTTTGAAGATTTATACACCCTGCCTTTTTGGTAGCAGTCTGTGGGAAGGGGTTGTCCTTACACTATATACAGAATCAGTTCTTTTTTAATCCTGTATTTTTTTCTTTATATCTTCTACAATTTGGTATGTCTATTAACTGAGGCCTTAAAATTAGGACCTCTCTGATGATCACATGATAAAATCTGAAGTAGATGTTTTTTGCTTTGTGGACCACTAAGAGAAGAATTAAATCAAGTTTATTTACAGTTATGAGTCCAATCCTGCACAGGTCTTATCAAAAGACAGTTCAACTGTGTCACTAGACATTAATCAAAGATCTGTAATCAGGACTTTTTCACGTTACAGCTGTAAAAATATCTTATGTAGAAACCTATCTCTTCCCTGATACAGAATTAGGAACGGAAAAGAGGTGCTGGTCAAGTCTTCACTTTTATGTAGTTCCTTAAATACCTATACATGTGTACTTTATATATTTAGCAGTCATGTCTGGTAACTTGAAAGCAGTCCATGGAGAAATATAACATACTCCCTATTTCTATAGACTATAAAACTTAAGCCTTTTTACCTTTTTTGTTGATCCCTAATCCATTGTACCATTGTTAAATCATCTAGATTTGAACTGTAAAAAATTCTTTTGCACAGGATCTATTTGTTATCTGAGCTGTTACACAGTACCTTTAACCTTTTGATGCAGTCAGTTAATATTATTGAATAATTAAGGCACACATTTACATGAATTCAAGTGAGTTATGAAGCTTACTTCTTTGTTTATAATGAAACATTTTTGTGGTTCCTAATGAACACCCCATATGTGTTTAGAATCCTCCCTGTCTACCAGAAAAGAAGCTGTAATTTTACGTGATGCCTATAATACAAGAGGTAGGAGAAAGATCAAAATTAAAAGAAATGAAAAAGGAGAAACTCAGCTGCATATTGCTGCAAAGAGAGGAGATTTGTCTTTGGTGAAAACTCTAATATCATCTGGAATTTGTGTCAATGAACAGGACTATGCAGGTTTGAAAATCACTCTCTTTTGGGCTTGTTTTATGATACAATTTTGTATAATTTATAGTCTGTATGTTTTTATATTACTTATGTAATTTTAATAAAATCATTGATTCTTGATTGATGATATAATTGTAAGAAGCAAAGGAAGTCATTCAGTGAGTGCAAGCACAATCAGTGAATCCTTGGATTTTATGTTTCAGCATGAAGCTAATGCCTCAGCAGAGGCGTTAATTGGGTTTTGCTCCTCTGCTGAAGAGCCCATTTTCAGAGATATGACAGAAAGTGGACTTGAAAGTTTGTCAGGACAGCTAATGCTTATGCATATGAGTATATACACATGTGGAGCACATTCACACGAACCTTATTTCCTTAGGAAATGAGGACAAAAATCAGATGACAAAATTATTTTTTCTTTTTTCTACCTAAATGTCTGCCTAATCATTTATGGTTTTATAGTCTCAGGATGGATGCTATTCTATTCTGGATGTGTGGCAGACTTGATATTATAAAATGCCACTGGGATTAGAAATCAGACTATTAATATTATTCTTCTGAGTTTTTAGAATATTTCTACTCTATTGATTTGAGGTTTTTATTATTTTTAGTAGTGTAGTAGAAAAGTAAATATTTTTCAGCTTAATATTGGGTATATTTCTCTCTAAAGTAAACTGAATTAAACAGGAAATAATTTACCTTGGCATGTCAAGATGATTGTGTAAGATTTATCTTAAAGATAGGTCTGTTGCTGATAGTACGAGAAATGCAGCAAGATATATATTCACTAATTGGTGATCTGTGCGGATCTTTCCAAATCAGATGCATGCTGTATGTGTTATCTTGCTTTTATTAGGTTGGACAGCAATTCATGAAGCTTCCAATAGGGGATTTACTGAAGTGATCTTAGAATTACTGAAAGCTGGTGCTGATGTTAACAGCAGAAATATGGATGGTGTTTTGCCAATACATGATGCTGTTAGTGGCAATTATTTAGAGGTATGTTTTTCTTTTACGTTTGATTTCCTGAGCCTGATTTCCAGCAGAGGGTCAGCAAAGCAAAATCCTTGTTTAAATAAGGAAAGTCAAAGTTACGAATACAATTTTAGTGGTGATTTGCATTTAGGAAATAAACCCAAATTGTTTAAAGTGATCAAAATTAGAGGAAATATTTTTTAGTAGTGTCAGTTGAAATTGTACATTTGCTTGACCTTTTCAGTCCAGCAGACAAATCAGAAAAATTCAGAAGCTCCCCATGGTTCTCTCCCACATATTGGGCTTTTTGAAAATAATACTGAAATTGAGTGTTCTCAATGTGATCTAGTCCAACCTCCCTGCCATGGGCAGAGACATCATTCACTAGAGCAGCTTGCCCAAAGCCCCATCCAACCTGACTGTAAACACTTCCAGGGATGGGGCATCCACAGCTTCTTGGGAAATCCTATTCCAGTGTCTCACCACCCTCATTGCAAAAATGTTCTTTTTTTTCATAAAGAAAAAACCCTAGGCCTGCTGTTAAAAAAGTAACCATTTTTTTTCGCTCAGTGGTGCCTTCCCACCCGAATCATTCTGTGTTTCTATAGAGTAAAATAGAGTATTTGAGTTCGAAGATACCTACAATGATCACCTAGCCCACCTGCCCAACCACTTCAGGGCTGACCAAAAGTTAAAGCCTGTTGTTATGGGCATTGTCTAAATGCCTGTTAAGCACTGACAGGCCTGGGGCATCGACCACCTTTCCAGTAAGCCTGTTAGAATGTTTGATGCCCCTCTCGGTAAAGAAATGTTTCCTAATGTCCAGTCTAAACCTCCCCTGGTGCAGCTTTGAACCATTCCTACACGTCCTATCGCTGGATCCCAGGCAGAGTGGATCAGCACCTCCCTCTCCACTTTCTCCTCTCAGGAAGCAGCAGAGAGCAATGAGGTAGCCCTTCAACCCTTTTTTCCAAATTAGATAAACACAGAGTCCTCAGCACCTTCTCAAAGGACAGGTCTTCCAGCTCTCTTTCAACAGCTTCGTTGCCCTCCTCTGGACACCTCTAAGGACCTCCACATCCTTCTTAAATTGTGGGGGCCAGTACTGCACACAAATAAGTAAAATTTGGCACAGTGAATTCCATCGAACTGAGCATAAAAAGGTGATGCTAGATTGGCTCAAACATGCCATTTCTGTGCCTGTCAGAAGAGCTGATTTTTCATCACATTTATCTTTCCTGTGAGCAAAGATAAAATGAAGGGGATGATTTCACAGGCCTGGTGGCAAACTATCAGTAGGGTTCCTGAAAACATGTGAGCTATTATTTAGTGTGGTGGGGGAAAACCAATGGAGAAGATTCTGAACTTCTAATATATATTCTCTTTCTGATACTTTCTGGTACTTAACAGCACTCTGAATGTAGGAAGAAAGAAGAAATGCTAAAGATGAGAAGTCATCCGTATGAAAATTCTTTACCATCCAAACTCTGACCTCATCAACACTTTCATCTGATCTGAATTTTAGGGGGTAGATGATTCCACTGACACCACTAATCTCATTTCCACATTTTACAATTTAGCAGACTTGCAAGTCATTTGGAATTAGGAAAAAAAATCATCAATGCATGTAACCAAAAAAACCCCACTATTAAGTAATTAAAGGAAATAAGTCCACTTCTTTTCTACACTTTGGTCTTAATAAAATTGACCAGTTCCTTTTAATTTAGACATGTGATGTTTTGTAATTGCTTTCTATAACAATACTATAAAGATGGTAGGTTTCATGGCAAATTGTGAATTATTTGTGTACTTCAATGGAAAAATTAGAAATGTAAGATACAAGTCTGTGTTGATAATAGCCAATTAAATTTGTTTGCTTATTTGAGATTGCAAGTGTAACAGGTTTTAGTGTCTGATTTGCACCTTTATTATTTGTGATTTAAGATAGGTACAACACATACAGTTTTATTGTAAGTCCACAACAGGAATAATTACAATACTACTACTGCTATATAATAGGCAGCCAGGATTCTGCTACAGTATGGAGCAAATCCCTGTGAGAGGAGTGATTCAGGGGAAAGTGCTTTGGATGTAGCTTGTGATGATGAAATGAAGGAACTGCTGAAGTCTTACAGTGCTACAGACTCTACACTTCCTGTCGAGACTATTGAAGTTACAAGTATGTTGGTTTTGTAATGTAAATCATAGGATTACCCTGTGGTCTTAAGGGGAAGTTGTGTATTAGAATGCTGCTGATCTGCAGAGCTGCATATTGTCTAGCAGTGATATTTTTTAACTCTACTAACTACTGAATTTCATTCGTTCATTCATTTATTCATATATTTATTTATTTATTCATTCATTCATTTATTTATTTTCAGAAAATAGGTTACATGAGTTTGTTTTTTTAATTGAGAGAATGAGGTATAAGGACGTATTTGACTAGTCAGATTTTTGTTGTTATCCATATTTACCTTCAGTGGAAGCTTTAAAGACTTACTTCCTAATGTTACCTAAATTTGATGTCATTTGCAGATACCAGATATTTTTTTTATTATGTGATATGCCATTGCATCTTTGTAACCTATATTAGCTAAGCTAGTCTATTATGCTCCTGCATGTTCATTTTGAATTCTATTATTTTTTTTTAATTGTGGAGAGAGACATCCTTCTAGATCAAGAAGATCAAAGCGTCATGTTTGTAACTACTATAAAAATGATGATGCAGGTTTGGAACCACAACATGAGAACTACAGTGTTGTAAGTATTAATAGAGTTTTATTAATCTGCTTCATAGTGTAGTATTCCATAGTGTCATTTACTGACTGAATAACATTAAAAATATCATTTAAATAATTAACCCCTTAGAATTTTTGTAAAAAGCAGCGTCATGCAGAGAGCATTGCACAGAGGCTTACAGTTTGTAAATTGTGGTTTGCAGTATATAAGTGTGTATATTAGCACTTCTCTCTGTTCGTGATTCCTATGTACTTATATTTACTGTGCAAAGAGTAGTCAATGATTACATACATTTCTTACTGCCTATATAAATAGAAAAAAGGTAAGGAATCCTGAGAGTTTTCATCACATTTCTAAAATGGCTCTTTGAAAGAGTAATGATTTTTCTTCATGATAGTGAAGGTATTTAGAAATTGTTTAATCTCAATTCGAAACAGCCAAGAAGATTTTTGCACAAGTTGTATGTTAGGAGAGCTCTTGCTGGTATCTGCTGCTGGTACCTACATTGTCTAGGTGATGATGCCATGATGATGTCTAATCCCTGCAGTGTGCTCAGGGGTGGGACTTTGAGCATGGGCTAGTTTGAATGCCTGGGCAAAACCAGGCTGTGACAGCCCCTTGCAGAGCATGCCCTTGGCACTATGTCTGTCTGTCCTACCAGTGGCCCCGTTACTTACACAGCAATCCCCTGCCTGGAGTGACTTGAGACCACCAATACTTATCCTGCAGACCAGCGTTGAGGCTTGTGTTTTATATAGTGCTCTTGGCTCTACTTCTTACTGTCATTTCTGTGTTTGTTAACAGGAGTCTGTTGATGCCATACAAGATGCAGAAGAGAAGCAAAAAGAACTTTTCCTACTTGAATTGAGAACTTCCAAAGATGCAGGTAGGTGTAAATTCAAGTTGTTTCACTTCTTTGGGGGAGGTAAATATCTTTGGTGATGTAATTGTTTTAAAAATAGTATTGCATGTAATATATTTGAATGTCTCCACTGGAAAATACAGCTTCAGAGAGTAAGATTTTTAATAACAGCTCTAAGGTAAAGGCAATTCCTGAAGTACTTGCAGTTTACAAAGGAATTAATGTGATTACAGAAAAGGGAAGCATCCCATTGGAGGCATGCGTTTCAAGCCAACCTAATGATATAAAAAGGGATCATTAGATAAGAATACACACTGTTGGCAACATTATTCAGTTGCAAGTACATAAGCCCTTCCATAGTTAAGAACAGCTATGTCTGTATGTAAAGTGACAGAGGCAGCTTTTTCATTCTAGTGTGGCTGACTTTCAGGAGCCTAAAATAATTTGTGAGGGTAACAAAGAAATCTTTAAGGCAGACGTTGTCGATGATGTGCAGTTTCAGAAATGCTTGTGCTCAGAGGTGTAATTTGTCTTAGGCTATCAAATCTCAGTTCAGATTAATCTCCAGAGCCTACTAAGTGACGCTGACTTCTTAGGAAATCATGGTGCTGGTGCTGTGTAGCAGTTTGAGACTATGTGCCTGTGCCACAACTGTTCAAGTGGCAAATCTTGCTGCAGGAACACCTTTGACTGAAGTTTCTCTTCCCAGCCAACTAGGCAGGGCAGTTTACTTTGAAGCAGCTTGGGACCGTGAAACATTTTTGCTTCCTGACAGAAAGGAAAGGGTGGTTTTAAATTTATTTTCCTGAATATAGGGTGGAGCTTTCAAATTATATTTAAAATAGTCAATTTATGCCTTTAAAAATAAATGTGGGATGTGGAATTATGGAGATACGTAACTTCCAACCCACATTTATGGCATGTGAACTGTTAATTAAAATCAGTACGTTTTCTTCAAAGATATTTGACAAACAAGTAGATGATACAACAGGCAGAAGCCTGTAGGCAGAGATTGGTGCAATTTCATAAATTAGCAAAATAAACATGAGAGAAGTGAACATGTTGATCTGTTACCGCTGCTGAAAAAAGCATTGATAATCTAGCATCTCTTAACTGTACCATAGTTATTACATGTGAAGAGGCACAAGACTGAACAAGAACTCAGAAGTACATTGACAAACTTACAATGTAGAATAAAATCCTAAAGGTATTTGCATGCAGCACAACCTACTGTAAATAATAGATTCAAATTCCCTATTAAGCTGCCTTATAAAACCAATATTTTTGTATTTTTCTATTTTAATAAGTAAGTAAATACTGGTAGATACTGGGGAAGCATTTTATAAATGCCATTTCTAATCCTGTAATTTCCCATTTTTCATAATTATGGAAAACTCGTATTTCCTGTTTTAGAATTTGTCCTAGAATTACATTACATGTTTAGCCTATTATCCTAGTATTATCCACTGTGCATGACTTCTGGGCTGTCCCTTATGTTATATTCTGAAGAGGTAGGGCATATAAAGAAGAATTTATAATTGCTTTTCTTTTTGCAGAAAAATCTAGCCAACCAATCTAGGCAACTTATAATTAATTTTATTTTATATTAAGGATTTGAAACTATATAAAACTATGATACATATGTTTTTACCGTTACATGTAACTTGGAACAGCCTAAGCTCATTAAACTATTCTATAATATTTCAACCATAAAGGTTTTAGCCACCTTCTTAAGATTGTATAGCTTTGGTAGGTAGCCTCACATATAGTTGTCATGTTATGTATCTCCTTGCAACATACAGAACTTCAAAAGTTTCAGTGCTTATCATCCATAGGACAGTTCTTCTGTCTGTAGAAGAACTATCGTGTTCTCTTAGTAATTTCCTAGACAACGCACTTGCACTTAAAAGTTTACCAGTGTTTGGGCTGTTTCCTCTTAAGTTAAACTTGTATTTAATTCTTTCTATGAAGAGTTTCATTAAAAGTACTCTACTTGTAAAGAGCTGTCAGTATGCGTGCCGGTATAAGGTACTGCTGTAACAATATTTTCATACTTTGGCTGTGTATTTGCTACATTCAAAATGTTATTACTATAATTATCTTCTCCTGCTTATTGCTGCCATCATTTTGATTCTATCAAATTATTGGCCAGATGTGTATATCCAAAGGCTGTCTCAGATGCAAAATACTTTGAATGAAATGCTTGCAACGCAGAAAACGGAAAGGGATACCCTTGCTAAAAAATACAGGTAAGTAAAATACAAGTAGCATACAGTAGTGTGAAAGTAAAATGATGTGGATGTCACTCAAATTTTGCAGATGCATGATACCTACTGGCTACAGTTACTTCGAGTAAGAGTTTACATCAAGGAAAAACTTCAAGGTTTAGCTAACGCATACTAATTAGTTACCATGGACACCGTGAGGCCTGAAATTAGGTAGTAAACATACAAAAAGTGTGGAAAAATACCTAAGCAGATACTAGGAAATGGAGGTACTGAGCAGTTAGATGACTTTTGCAGCATCATGGAGGAAAGCAGTAACAGTTCGGACACTACTTTAAGTGTCCTGTCTCTGGTTTTGTTTCTTTAGCACCCCTAGATTGGGAGTGTTCAGCCAACAGGCCATTAAGAGCAGTGGCTTGAAGCATGTTTATAGACATTTCTTTTTTGTGAGGACGCTTCACAGGTGAGCTGGGAGTGCTCACCTCGGTGGGAGCATGCACTATGTGAATCGTCAGCTTCCTGCTGGTAGCGCTGACCAGCCTCCTTTGACTTCCTTCTCTTCTGAGAGGAACGACCTAACTGCTGGTCATGTGGTGAGTGCTCAGCTAACAGTGTAGCATTGTGGTCAGTGGATGGTTCTGGGCCATCTGATGGGGATGACTGATCCCCATCATCATCTGATGGGGATCATCATCTGATAGTGTTTCCATGAGCACTATTGGTTTCATCATGTAAATGCAACAGTGTACAGCTTTGAGGTAGTTCCATGGAAAAACACATAGGCTGGTTGAGCAAAAAGACTGAAACATTTCTGTCACCGACCATTTTGCCAGCTATGAAAGGTAAGATGCGTAGATTACTTAGATAATTAAAAAAAAGAGGGTTTTGTGTGAAGAGAGGTTAGGGTTCCAAGTCATCTTTGTGAACAAAATAGTGACTGAACGAAGAAACAGGAGGAGTAAAACTTGTATCTACACAGATTCATCTGCCAGCTTGCCAGAGCAAAGTGTGAAATATTTCTTGTTATTGCAGATGCCTTGCAGCTAATGCAACAGCTGTCCATCAACAATAATGACCTACATGCCAAATAACATCAAATTTCCTCTTTATTATTTATAAGGTGAACACTTTGTTTTCAACTAATTAGCGTATAAGCTTTTATCAAATGTTACATAAATGTACAGAAAAGCAGGACACATCATCCCATTTTCCATCTTCCTGTTCATTTAGCTGGCCCTGGCAGAGATACTACTTACACTTTTCCATTTCTGTCTGTTCCTTTTAAGATATTAAGATCTATCTCTCACCTAAGAAGAAAAAAAAGCCCATCGTGTTTTTCAGTGGCTCTAAGTTACTCTGCCTCTGTCATTTAAGTCACACTGTCTTTGACTCTTCAGCTGCAGGTTCTGCAGTACCCGTGTAGCAGTAAAGCCACAAAACTTCCCTGAAGAAGCACTGCTGGAAAAGTGTGGGGAGGCCTCACTGGCCTGTGTAGGAGCACGGAGCTGTCAAATTGTCCTCACATTAGCCATTGACTACATGCTGATGTGTTGATTGTATCACGGATTCTAAACCCATGTGATTGCCAGCAGTGTCACGGTACAGACAGCAATACTGTCACACTGTGGTTTGGCTGTCCTTGTTCTGCACCAGCTACTCTGGCTGTACCTCTGTCTTGATGCCCTCAGCAGTCTCCCTCTTCCAGTGGGATGGTGTTGTTACTTGCACAGCACCTCTGCTGTGGCTGGAGTTAAAAGCAAACTGTGCTGGTGTTCCTTTTCCCACACCTTGTGGTACTCCCCTGTCTTCCCAGTGTGGTGTCGGAGTGCTCGTGCAATCACTTGTCCCAGGACGGGGAATTAGGAGAGAAAATTATTATGCTAGGCTGGTGTGCCAAAGGAATTGGGGAAAATAAGGAGTTCCCTTCCATCAGGGAGGAAATAAAATCCCCCAAGAAAGGATTGTCACAGGGAGACCAGCTCAGAGAGGGAGCACCATCTGGTGACAGGAGAGACATTCCCAAACTATCATACAACATCCTAAATTGCTCTGTCCTCTTTTCTTACTGATCATTTGGTGTTATTACAGTTGTGGCTTCACACAGTGTTGTGTTGTATACACTGTAAAAAATTTCTGATAGTATCATCCTTCAGTAGCTCATTGTGAGCTCATTTTAAAAGGCTACAAATTAGAGCTGCAAAGGCATTAAATTCAATGAACTATGGTGGTTTGTGATGATAAAAGAGCAGCCAGTGATAATTCAGATCCAGTTTTGGTTCCATGAATTAAGGGTGATATAGGAGGACAAGGATATTACTGAAGTTTTGATGCTTTGCATCTTCTAGATGAGATTCTGCAGTTTATTGTGCATGAACCTGGGATTTGAACTACAAACTTTATAATAAAAAGATTGTTCAAATTTTAGGTGGTGGCAGAGTCCTTTGAAACATATGCCTGTTCTTAGTGGGATATGCCTATTAAACTGTTTCAATATTGTGCTTACAGTAACTGCTGCCATCATTACTTTTTTTTTTTTTTTTCAATTTTCCATAGGGCTTCAGTGGAATCTTTTAAAAAAGGAGCATTGAGGAAACAATTAGTTCACCTTGCTTCTAGGCAAAGGCATCTATTGGCTATTGCCCAAACCCAGGAAAAGTTAGTCCAGAAAATACAAAATTACAGAAGAACACAGCAAGTGTTCAGTGCATCATGTTCGGAGAAGGAAATCTCACACTCAGTTATTTCCTGTGGAAATGATAAAAGACGAAGTTTAACTGCTGATGAAAGCATGTGCCCTGATGTAGTTACATTTAATATGGGTCTTGGTGCCAGCGTGCCAAATAGAAATGCAGTAGAAGCACATCTCTCTTTAGAAAATAGATTTTCAGCTCAGGAATGTAGCCAACATCCACACACCTGCTTGGACAAGACAGAAGCAAACAAAGAAGCAATTAGAAGCAAAGAGGGTTCTGATCATGCTTTGGCATCCGAAAGCAGAGTAAGAGAATATCACTTCGACAACATGTCAATGCTGACAAATGCTGTGGAAGTGGTGACATTGCCTTCAGAACCTACTGTTTCCACTGCTAAAACGAAGTGCTCATGGCAAAAAGAGATTGATTGTGTAGCAATTGTGGAAGAAGGAATCAAGTCTTTAAATCCCACCTCAGTGACATACACATTAAATACTGCGGAACCCCGAAGCGCTGTTGTCAATAACCGTGTCTGTCAGCCAGGCAGTGACTACCAGCAGGTTCTTGCAGATGAACCTCTACACAGATATGTAGATAAGAAAGAAGCTTTCCAGCAGCAAGTGGTTTTGTCAACTTCTACAAAGAACTTCCCTAATACTCCACAGCAAGTGATCTTTTGGAGTAGCGAGAACTCATTTAATGCTGACTCGGTGCTTACAGATCTTGCCTCAAATACAGATTATCCAGTAAAACTCAGTGAAAAACCTTCCCAGAGCTATAGTAATCAGGAATGTGAACAAAACAAAGTGCGGCGTGGAAGAAGTAGGAAAAAGCTTCAGTTGATAGATCTTCTTGAATTGGGAAGGATTAAGCCAGGAGAAGATGTTTTAGAATTCAAACTCCAGGTAACTGTTGAGATATAATAATGTTAGTATTGGCATGTAACTAAAAAAACCCAACACTAAAATGGGGAAACAGCAGTTTTCGTGGTTTAATCTGCATCTTCAGCGCTTAGTGTTGAAAATTTTTATTCATTGGTTGAAGATGATATTTTATGAGTTTTAAAGAAAGATGCTATGGATGGTGTCTTCTGTGTGAGGCCATAATTTTAACACCCAGAATATTGCATATGTGAAATTTGTGTTTAACTTCACATTATCAGTTTGTTAACATTTCCTACTGCTAGAAGCAGGGTGAAATCATTGGTTGGTCTACATTGTGTAATACCTGATTTTCATAGTGGAAGAAGTGGGAACATTAAGTTTTTTGTGACTTAATGTGATTTTGGAGCAACTATCCAGTCCCTCAAATAAAGAAGTGTAACATGAAGGATTTTGTAGTGCTGTGATAGACATGAATATTACTTACATGCCAGCTGGTTCTATAGTTTACAGTCTAGTAAGAACTGTATTTGGAAAAAAAACCCGCAAAACCACCAAAACAATACCCCCACACCCTATTTTTAATACAAAAGTATGTCCCTGTGCCTCCAAATACAGAGCAGATTTGCAAGGCAGCTGCTAGGGGACTGGCTTGATATTGAGCAAATGATGGAATTATTGACTGAATTCCCAGCTGCAAACTAGTTAATTTCCATGGTAACATACTGATTAAAACATGAAAGGTTCTATTCAGACAACTCACCTGGTGTAGCTAATGTAGAAAAGAGCCCTTTTTCTCTACCTGTAACCTGCTTGGGAATGCTTTTCTGCATTCTCTTATTCTGATTGTTTAACCTCATGCATGCTGAGAAACCTTACTACGTTCTGACATAGTTTGTCAGCAGCTAATTTTGGTGTTACAGAAGTATAAAAAACTATAAGCCCTGCTTCTGGAGGTACATTATGTGTTTGCAGGCTGTATTAGCAGTATCAAAGGGGCAATAACAATAAATTCTTTTATAGCTAATTTTGCGCAAGATGAGACTGTCAGATTCCTCCTACAATGTGTAAGTGATGTCCCTTGGCACAAGTAAGGTTCTCATGCGAATATATTTAATCTTTTAATAATTGCTGGAATTTCACTGTGACATGCATTTGTTTGACATGTGTAAGGCAAATTGCACTTGAGTAGCAGTTTCTTGTTGCGCAGACTTGCCTTCTGTGGATTCCTGAGTTCACTGCTGCAAATTAATTTATTCACAGCTTTGTTATGTCTAAGGGGAAGTGAGATGCAAATGCAGTTCTGATAAACACACATAGATTTGTGATCTCAGTGTGGCCAAAACATCTTATTCTGATGGGATAAATCCCCTTATTGCACATACCAGAGTTGATGATAGTGGCATCAAATTAATTAACTTTTTTCAGAATTAGGTGCAATTTTTCAGCTATATTATTCTTCAGCATTTTTTCATGTTTTGAGGATGTTAATTCAGATTTGTTAATTTAGGAGTTGAAAGTTAGTTCTTAATTTTTCTTTTTTTTAGGAATTTAGTCATAAAGCCACGCTCTTAAAGAACGGCAAGATCAGAACCAGTAAGAGACGAATACTGGAGAATCCAGTTCAGTGGATTAAAGACCTACTAGGAAGTGATATTTCTGTGACATGGAAGTATGTGTGGAATAAGGTAGGCCTGATTGTAGTCTCAAAAATAGCAATAATAAATGGCAATAACAAATTTCACTAATGTGGATCTTCTTACTTTCTTAAAGCAAAAAGAGGGTACAAGCCTAAATTTAAAAAGTATTCTTAATGAATCTGCAGCAAGGAGTGAGCTACATAGCTGTGGTTGTGCAGTGATGAACTAATCACAAGTGTTGAGAGAAAGTGGAATGTCCACTCTATAAGCTATCAATGCTTTGAAAGTGTAGTTTTAAAGATGATTAAGAGACTGACAGAAAAAGCTGAAAAGTAGTTAGAGTAAAAAGGAGCAAGCTTATTGAAATGTCATGGTGTCAGGGACAAATGTTGGAAAAATACCAGCAGAGTTTAGAGGGCTTTGCAGATGGGCTGTATTAGGTTTTTTTTTAATTTAGAATTCAAATGAGCAGAATTTCTGTTTGATCTTGCCAGACACAGATTAGGCTGTTAAGTTTATAAACTCAGTTTTATAAAAAAAGTGAAATTTTTACATGTATCAGAAAAAAACACTAATTAAAATGACCAGTTATTAATTTTTTTTTTTTTTTTGTACAGGTTACATATCGTGGGACACAGTTGTCAAATTTTCTTTTTGAAGAAATGCCAGTTTCCAGTGACCTAGAATTACCATCACAAGAAAGAGAGCCTTTGCGTATGTACCACTTAAAATCTAGTATCTGCCATGGCTGAAACCAGTAGAAAGTGATTTCTAAAGAGCTTAAATTCCAAAATTCCCCTATAGCTTTCCGATTTTTTACTGGGCTACATGCTTATCACAGATCTTGGGCTTGAAAAATAAATAGTGCCAGAACATAGACATGATCTCTAAAGAAGTGTGTTTCTTTTCTTATGTAAATTGTTAGTGTGAAGAGAATAATTACTAATGACTTGGCTGCTATGTCAAAAATATTTATGTCACATTTTATGTTAAAAATATTTATAGTGAAGTTTTTAATAAGCTAATTTAGTACTTTTTTATTCTGTTGGAAACGCAGATACACTAGCATAAGTTTTAATGGCACATACATCTTAAAATCACATTAAAAAGTCTGTGTTGGTGGAAATCCCAGTATGCCCAAGCAGTAGTAATAACTAGGGGGATATTTTAGTCTCTAAAAATAAACAGTCGTATAAAACAGAGCACACTGATATTGCAAAATTACATTGAACAATTTTTATCAGAAGTGCCTGGCAGACTTAAGAACTTCAGCCTAATTTTGATAAGTAATGTGGTCCCAGGGACACGCAAGTCCCTTTGACAGCCAGTTACACTTGGAGTCTGAAAAGCTTTTGCCATTGGTTCTGTTAATTTGATGACACACTGAACCTCACATGAACAAGGATAGCAGGCTTGGTCTGTTCTTTAAGAAAAATGAAAAACCTAACTGCTCTGGAAATTAAGCCATGGAACTATCAGCATTAAATGATACTGTTTGTTCTTAGAACAAAACTGTCTTGATATTTTATGCTCTCAGGAAAAAATTTTATCACGAGAAACCCCAGCAACCACAACCAGCACCATCAGAGTCCTGGTACTGTCTCCATTGCTCAGCCCTGTGGGAGCTCTGACCCAAGCAACGTGCAGCCAAAAACCCCGTCCTTGCCACAAACAGAAGTTGTGAAAACATTGCTGTGCAGTGGAAGAGAAGCAGCTATTACCGAGGCATTTAAAAGTAAGATCATCTTTTTAACTGCCTAAAAAACCTAATGGACTAGAGTAGAGATACAAAAGGAAAATTAAAGTAAGGTGGAGTGGAATTGATCTGTGTGGGGGAGAGAGTGCTGGGGGAAAATGACTTTGCTGATGAGTTGGATAGATCTAAACTAGCCAGTAATGAAGTTTCAAAACTCAGTATTTTCGACTCTTCTGTGTCCAAATTAGAAATATTTTTAAAAATCTAACCACCAGCTCAGTTTCCACATCTCTAGCTTATAGAAACCAAATCTTTTGCATCCAGTTATGAGGAGAAGCTTTTCAGGTTTCATAGTCTGACTAAAAATATTTTTGAAAGCCAGCTATGAAAAGCAAAATCCTACTTAAGATAAAAATTCCTTTAAAAATAAGTCTTAGGGGGAGTATTTAATTGAGTCTCTTAAATGAAGCATTGGAAGTGCCATGAGAAGCCCCATAGCCCATAGATGGGTTTGCTATATTTGTTTGCCCTCTTCCTTTGTTTCCAAAGGTCCAGTCAGATACACAATGCCATTGCTGTTTTCCTTCACGCTAAATAAATTATGAATTTAAAGCTCAGCTGTATGAGTTGACTAATTTACTTTCTGGGCTTTGCTAGTCCTTGAAAATGATAGAAGGATAATTAATTTCAGCTTTCTTGCTAGTCAATATTACCTTCATGATTTTTTAAAGTATTTTTATCACAGTGTTATATATGAAAAAAATATAGTGTATTCTGAAAGGTAGAAGAAAAGAAAAAGAGGGGAGATTTAGATTAGATACTAGAAAGAAATTCTTTACTGTGAGGGTGGTGAGGCACTGGAACAGGTTGGCCAGGGAAGTCGTGGATGCCCCATCCCTGGAGGTGTTCAAGGCCAGGCTGGATGGGGTTTTGAGTAGTTTGGTCTGGTGGGAGGTGTCCCTGCCCATGGCAGGGGGATCGGAACTAGATGATCTTTACGGTCCCTTCCAACCCAAACCATTCTATGATTCTATGATCCTATGATTTATGTGACTGTAAAAGACAGGGAGATGAACTATATGTTCTCTGTATTTAGTACTTTGGAAGCCATGTGAAACTGTCAACAAATGCTTCTATCCATAATCTTTTCCATCTGAGACATATCTCAAGGTGCAGCTGTTAATGCTGTCTTCTCTTCTTGATGGCTTGCAGACAAAATATTTAAAAGTATTTTCTAGTACTTTAAAGTTCTAGGCATTTGCTTTAGGTACTCACATAGTTTACAAAGAAGCACATCGTTCTGTCAGCAGAATTTATAAAGCTGTATTTCCCAGTAACTTTGCATGCCATGCAAAAGTACAGGCTGAGGTATAGGCTTCCTCCATCTGCACTCTTTTCCTTCCCAAAGGCCTCTGCCTGTTCTTGTTAGGCTATGAGGAAGGTAGAATGTCACATGAGTGACTCAGAGTTGAGCTATGTGGCCAGCAAGAGCCAAAAATGTTCACTTTTTATGAGGTCAAAAAGCTAAAAAACCAACCAACCAACCAACTCTCCAGGACTGCATGACATGGAAGCCAATTCTAAAAATATAATATCTGTATTTCTTATCTGTCATTCATGTTTTTCTGAAACTGCCAAATCACTTCAGGAGTTACTAGGTGACAGCGTGGTTGCAGACTCTTAGACCTGTGTAAATTTGGTGAGGCCTCTGGAAGTCTTTAGTCCAACCTCCTGTTCGAAGTAGGGCTAGCTTCCAAGTTACACGAGGTTTCTCAGTGCCTTGTCCAGTCAAATTCTGAATATATTCAAGGATGCACATTCCACAACATCTCTGTACAATGTATTTATGTGCTTAATCACACTCCTGGTGAACTTTTTTCCCCATGTATCTAGTTGGAATTTTGCTTGTTAAAACGTGTAACTGTTGCCTCTTTTTATTGCCTATAGAAACCTTGTTTCCTTAAGAATCCTGGATAAAAGTAAGTTGACCCCTAGTTAAGAGCTTTAAACACTGGCTTTGTGGCCTCTTTACTTTGTGAAACAACTTGTAAAAGAAATCCTTGGATAACTGACTGGTCTTCTTAATTCAGCAGCTGCACTGTAACTTTTTCATCTGCTTTGGTGGTCCCATGGAGACTGAGGGAAGACTAAGAGAAACACAGCTCTGTAGATAATATTCCCAGAACACTTCTATCTTACCTTACTTATGAAAGCAATGAATGAAAGGCAGTGTGATAAACAGCAAGCTTCAAGAAGCAACGGCTTCAGCTGCTGCTTTGCTTGAAACAGAGAAAACAGACTTTTTTGATGCCACACTCTGGTAATGTCAAATGAAAGCATGTGGGAGACTACCTGATGGTCTTACCTTGGTGAGCGTTCAGATTGTATCACAGTTCATGGAATCAGGGAATTGTCAGAGTTGGAAGGGACCTCTGGAGATCATCTGGTCCAACTCCCCTGCTAAAGCAGGATTGCCCAGAGCACATCACTCAGGACTGCATCCAGGCGGGTCTTGAAGATCTCCAGAGAAGGAGACTCCACGACCTCCCTGGGCAGCCTGTTCCAGTGCTCTGTCACCCTCACTGTAAAGAAGTTTTTTCTCATATTTGAATGGAACTTTCTATGTTCCAGCTTGAGCCCTTTGCCCCTTGTCCTATCTCTGGAAACCACTGAAAAGAGTCCGGCTCCATCATCATTCAACTCACCCTTTAGATACTTATAAACATAAATAAGGTCTCCCCTCAGTCTTCGCATGTCCAGGCTAAAGAGCCCCAGCTCCTTGAGCGTTTCCTCGTAAGGAAGGGGCTCCAATCCCTTAATCATCTTGGTTGCCCTACACTGGACTATCTCCAGTAGTTCCCTGTCCCTCTTGAACTGGGGGGCCCAGAACTGGATGCAGTATTCCAGTTGTGGCCTCACCAGTGCAGAGTAGTTTTTTTCAGGACTGACTTTTATCAAAGTTGGGACACAGCTTCTAAACAAAACAATTCAGTCTTTAAATCACCACATGATAATAACCTACAAGAAGGCTCTAGAAATTGTTCTGAGGCTGTACATAAAACCCACTGAATGAGTCACATTTTTAGTAAATAAGTTAGAATATTGCAGTGAGAGTGCTGGGAGGAGCATTTCCAAAGTAAGAAAGGAATGAACTTCAGACTTTGCTGGGAAATTTTCTTGTACATACATACATGTGGACATTTCAGAACAAAAAAGCTTTTTCAACGAATCAAAACAGGTTGAAGTCATGCCTGTCATGTCACTATGGGCTCAGTGTTAATGATGCTTCAGCTCAGCTTCTGCCACTTTATTTTATAAAAAAATTCCTGGGATTACTTTTAAGATCATTTTTACCTGAAGGTGTCCTTTATACTGTTTTGTGACTTCCCATCCAGGCATTCCTATTTATGCTCTTTGAAACATCACTTCTGTGTGAGTAAGTTGACTTCTTCTGGTGTTACTGATAGCTGCTTCATAAACAGTAAAGGCTGTGTGAGGAGCATTGTGGTGTAACTTCTCCAGAGGACTTGTATTCAGCCTGTCCATCTTTGTTGTAGTCCAAGAGACTTAAGTATGTCTTAGACATCAGATTGTGCTCCATTATGTGCTGCGTTGTGGTACGAGTGTACAGAAAATGCACTGAGCGTGTGTGTGAGATTCTGAACACAGTCCTGTTCCCACTGGAGTGAGAAGTTTTGCTGTGGATGTCATGGGTGTGGAACAACATACAACCTCATGCACAAGGCTCTGTATTTGCATTTCTGAGCACAGACCTCTTGCTTCCAAGAGCAATTTGCCATTTCACTCCTTTGAGTGGTGAGCTCCTGGAAATCAGGAAATTGTGGGGAAATCCTCATCAAGATATGGAGTTAAAAGGTCTAACACCTACAAGATACACTGATTGTTATGCATTGGGACCTACCAATGTTGTCAGTTCAGTGAATATATTTTGCATTTGGGCTTCAGTGTAGGTGACACAACTGGAGAGCTCTGGTAACAGAGAAAGACAAACTCTTGGGATGGCACATAGTAGCCCAGAAATAAGTGCAAGCTAAACGATCAACTGGTGTCACTTCAAAGATGTTTTCTCTGCGTTTTGGCAAGGATTTGTCTTGACTGACTTAATCATCCTGAAACACCCATCTTGTTTTGCTTCTTGAGATGCTTGAATGGTGTCTGAACACTGTTTTTTGTTGGGTGTTTGTTTTTTTTTTAAACAGAGGCCATCCTTACTTCCACAACAACACTCCCTTGCTTGATAACATCTGCTACATCTGACAGTTCCACCCTCACTGGTGGTTTCTGGGTTGGTCTGGTTGTGGCAGCTCAGCAGCTCTTATATTTTGTGCAAGGGTACCAAAGGGAGAGAGTGGGGACAAAAGATGAACAAAAGCAAGTAACTCTGAAAACTACAGTTCCAAGTGCCTTTTGGAGTCTGTGCTATTACAGAGAGAATGTCTTGTAATATTCCGTACTGCTGGATCTTTACAGTGGTAATTTGTTACTGATTTTAACAGTGAAAATTAAAAGTTCAGCTTCTCCTGCACTGACACAAGTGCCTTAAGATTATGCACAGTAATAGTTGCTTCAGTCCAACAGATATTTAAAGATTGCTAGTGTCCATTGTTCAGACCTGTAGTTTCTTGTATGCGGGTGTACGCTTTCCTTTTTATATAGTCTTTTTGCGACTCTAGGAAGGGAATTCCCTATGAGAGGGATTCCTTCATTTTGGGGAAGTGCACTAAACTTATGCCTGTGTGGGCAAGATGTGAAATTCAGGCAATGCTGAAGAGCAACTGCATTTTCCTGTTGCATAATTGGAAATGGCTGGGACAGCTGCCTTCTCACCCTGAGCACCACTGACATGTAGGACTGCCCTCATCTCGCTGAATGTGGGTGCCAGTGAGAGGTACCGATGAGAGGGCCGGGATCTGATGCTACAGGAATCCTAGGACATAAACCCCTACGTGGTTCTAACGAGCTGTTAGCATCTCTGTAGATGATAGTGCCAGTGATTGCTTTCCATTGCTCTAATATACACTCTGTAATCATTTTGCATTCATGTTTCAACAGGCTCTTCTGTCCAGTTCAACTCAATGGAAAGTCTGACACATTTTCTTCAATTCCGTGAGATAGTAATGGTTCGTAAAGAGGAGTTTCTACCATGCTCTGTAATGGAAAAGCACTGGAGTTTCTATAAAGGATGTGAAGATTTTGGATTCTAAAGACTTCCTGAGTGCCAACAATTTTTTCTTCATTATCACTTAAAAGTAAACATTTGGGCTTTTAGAATAATGTGCTTTGTTACTGTCATTTTGATAAATCGTTTGCCCAGCACTTGGAATGGACTGAAAGACTGTTTGAGTAAATGAGGAACAGGGGAGTACTGTGTAGCAGGTGAGGATAACTGTCAACATTGAATTTTAAGATTAAGAAATGGGGATGTAGACCAGGACTGTTACACACTGGTGCTCACAGTGAAATGTATTTCCGGTTGATAACTTTGTATGAAATTCCTCTGATTTCAGTGGCTGCCCATGTTTGATGGGGCTGCACAGAACCAGGTAGGTATTGACACTGATAGTCATTTCCTGCACCTAAACCTGGACCCGCTCTGCCTAGGCACAGGCCATCAGAAATGGCTGCACGCCTTTGTATAATAGCATAAGCTGTTAGCTTAGGCAAAAAATTCAAGATGGGCAGCTTTGAAAATCACCAGCAGCTTTGCTTTCCATGGTGTGGATATATACAAACATTTGAGAAGGGGGCAGGTGCTGGGAGAGGTTAAAAGAGGAACCTTGGCTACTAGAAGTGCGCAGGGAAATTCCATTCATGTTCCAGCCAAGTCTTTCTGATGGACAGAAAGTGTGCTGGCATATGGCAGGAAATGTTTGTGGAACACAGATTTTTCCGTCTAACAACGTGTAGATATTCTGTTTGTTTTAATTTTACAATGTGTGAATCTGCCTCAGTAGCGTATTTATAATATATTTGACTGTCATGAGAGTTACCTGCATTCAAATGGCATCCTTGCTCTTTCGTTCTCTGGATTATAAGAGAAGATGAAATAATGGCACCTGCTACTCCTAACTCTGGTGAATGGGATGAGAAATCTCTCCTGTCAGTACAGAACAACCTCAGCTAGATATCTGGAGCGTGAAGAGCTGTTCTGCAGAGATTTGATTAGTGTCTTAAAGAGGAGGTAGTTTAGGGAAGAAAGAGGGGTGTGATGTGCAGGTCTGCTGTGCCCTAGGATGCATGAGCAATCGTAGCCTGATGGCCTGCAAGGCTAAGGAAATGCAAACTGCTGGAAGTGAAAAAAGTAAAAAGCTACTGAGTGACAGGTATTTCATAAAGGTCACTTTCCACAGAGACAGAAAAATGGAGCGGTCTCACAACTGCAGCAGTAAAACAAACCTGAAGGCATGCTGATTTAAAGGAAATGTTCATTCAAATGCTACACTTCCACTTTCACAGAAAAGTGAAAGACTTTTGACTGTAAAAATGACTACTGAATTACTTACAAGTTTGTTAGACATTTTTTCCTTGTTACAAGGCGTCTAATAAGATTAACATAAAAAAACTGGGAGGATTTGACAGTAATACTTTTAATCTGTTGATTGCATGACCTAAGACAATCCTAAGTGACAAAAATTCTGATTGATTCAAGCCGGGCAGAGAAGTAAAAATGCAAAGTGTTACATGAAAACCACTGTCTCTTATTGGTGCCATATATAAAAGTAAGCTACCAGGGTGGGGTTTTTTTCAATATTTGTATTTTATATAAGCATCTTGAGAAGAGCACTAGCTTGACAACATATGTTTTAGTATGACTAACAAGTGTAGAATTCTCTTCCCAAATCTTCTGAAAACTCTGAATTTTCCCTGTTCTCCCTACTGGTGTCTTTTTCATTAAGAGATGGCAAGAAGTTATACCATGATGAATAGGATGTTTTGTTTTCTCTGTTTAAATTTATGCTTTATAAGTGTACTTCTGCATGGAAATGTAAAATGTTATCGCACGTCAAAAATAGGCAGCTATTAATGATCCTGACTACAGCAAAGCAATAAAGCTTCTGCTCACAAGGGGCAAACAGCAAGGGTTAGTCCTTCCAGACCTTCCTGCTCCTTTCTCATTCCATTCCTTTATTCAGTAAGAGTCATATTGCTTCATTGCACCAGGCTGTGCAAGGCAGAATGCTCAGAGCCTCCCCTTAGAAGATGGCTTTTCCTCCCCCTTGACTGCTGCATCTTTCCCAGTGCACGTTCACCTGTGTTCAGCAGGGACCACTGTATACCACAGGGATGATGTTTCACTGTCACTTCATACAACAGTTTGCATTTCTCCTGACACTGCTCAAGACCCCATTTTCTTTTTTTCACACAGGTACATCACATTGGCAGCATGTCATTATCCCATAATCACCTCATATGCACAGGTCTTTCTCTGCTTCAGTCAATTCTAGCAGATGAGTTCCAGCTTATAGAAAAAGTTTTTGCCATCAGTTCCTTATTGCAAGACCCTGAACATTGTACTACTGAATTTCATCGTACATTTATTAGTACTCTAGTCCTCAAGCTCCCTCAGTTCTTCGCAGACTGCATCAGACTCCATTGTCAATTCTTTTCTGTATGGATGGTACCTCCAACCTTTGTGTCATCAACAGATGCCGTTAATAATGCCCTGAATATTTGTTTCAGATCACTAATGCAATGGAAAGGGAGAGCCCTGCTAAAAAATACAGATAAGTAAAATACAAGTAGAATACAGGAGCGTGCAAGTAAAACCACTTGTGTTTCATTGCAATGTTGCAAAAGCATGAGACATATTAGCTATAGTTACCTCCAATAAGAGTTTACGTCACGGAAGAACTGCAAGGTTTAGCTAAAGCATACTAATCAGTTCCCATGCTCACAGTGATGAAACTACCTGAAATGAGGTATTTTGAAATTAGGTGGTAGAGCCCTTTGAGCACTCCTGCACGGCAGCGGGCTCCCTTGAGTAGGGACACCTCTCAAGATTACTTCTCCAGATTCAGAGATTCCTTGTCGCAACAGATCCTGGGGAAGTGAGGGCTAGCACGCTAAACTTTGAAACCCTAGGATAGGAAGCACTGGTTGCCCAGATAGAACCCTTCAGACATAAACGGCTGTTGAGCAGCACTGGTCCCACTACTGACCCCTGAGGAACACTGCTCCTCACTGGTCTCCACTTGGACATTGAGGTGTTGACCACAACCTGTTGAGTGCGGCCATCTAGCCAGTTCCTGATCCACTGAGTGGTCATTCGTCAGATGCGTGTCTTTCCACTTTAGAGACCGGGATGTCATGCGAGACACTGTGAAATGCTTTGCCTAAATCCAGGTACATGACGTCTGTTGCTCTCCCCCTCTCTGCCTAGGCTGTAGCGCCATGGTAGAAGGCCACCAAATTTGTCAAGCATGACTCACCCTTGGTGAAGCTGTGTTGGCTGTCACCAGCCACCTCCTTATTTTCCATGTGCCTTAGCAGAGATTCCAGGAGGATGTGCTCCGTGATCTTGCCGGGCACAGAGGTGTAACTGACCTGCCTGTAGTTCCCCAGCCCGCCCTTGTTTCCCTTTTTGAAAATGGGGGTTTGAAAATGGCTTTGCAAATGTTTCCCATTTTCCATTGAGTGGGAACTTCAGTGGAACTCCACCACTTTTCCAATAGCATGGAAGACTAGTTGGGGATGTGAAGGTTGGGAGTAGCCTTTACTGCAGTGACCATGAGAAAGGTGGTGGAGTTCAGGATCCTGGGTGGAAGAAGCAGGGCAAAAAGTAGAATTACAACCCTAGGCCTCAGGAGAACTAACACTGCCCTATTCACAGACTCACAGAATCGCCTAGGTTGGAAGGGACCTTGAAGATCATCTAGTTCAAACATCAACCTAACTCTGACGGAAAAAAAACCCACCAAAAACCAAAAAAAAAGAAGCCCCCAAACCGACACAACACTAAATGATATTCCCAAGCACCCTGTCAACTCATCTTTTGAATATCTCTAGGGATGGTGCCTCAAGCAAAGACCTCCTTGGAGAAACACCATGGGCTACAGCTCTAGAAGGAAGGGGAAGCTCCCTCACAAGAGAGCTCAAGATGGGTGCGTGCCTAGTAGAAAGAAATGAGGCAAAAGAGGTAGGAAACCTGCATGATTAAGTTCATCCATGGGTGAGCAAGGAGCTTCTGGGAAAACTCAGGTGGAAGAAAAAAGTGTTCAGAATGTGGACAAAGGGACTGGCCACTTGGGAGAAGAACAGGGCGGCTGTCAGAGGATGCAGGCCTGCAATAGTTTAGGCTAGGGCCTGCTTGGAATTTAACCTGGCGAGAGATGTCAAGGGCAGTAAGAAGGGCTTCTTGAACTACATCAGTAGAAAGAGGAAGACGAAGGAAAATGTGGGCCCACAGCCGAATGAGGTGGGTGCCCTGGTGACGGAAGAGGCAGAGAAGGCAGAGCTACTAAATGCCGCCTTCGCTTCAGCCTTTATGGCTAAGCTCGGCCCTCAGGAACCCCAGGCCATGGAAGCAGGAGAGAGCCTGGAGTAAGGAACGCTCTCCCTTGATGGAGGAGGATCAGGTCAGAGATCCAAGCGATAACCACCCAAGGTGGTCACCAGGGGTGCATCTCGTCGTGAGAGTGGCATCTGGGGCTCCAAGGTGCTTTGGGGGAGCCAGACAACACCACAAGAGCCAAGGGAGAACTTGAGCAGCGCTGGTACTATGGTCGATATGGAAATATGACTAGAGGTCAGCCATCTTACCCCCAGAAATAGTCAACAGCCCAAGAGCCCCTTGAGCTCTCCTGCACGGCAGTGGGCTACCTTGAGTAGGGACACCTCTCAAGATTACTTCTTGAGATTCAGGAGATTCTGTGCTGCAACACATCCCGGGGAAGTGACTACTAGCACACCACAGCTTGAAATCTTAGCTGAGTGAGAGGAAGGGTTGATTGGCCAGAGAGACTCCTTCAGACATAAAGCCTTGACCAAGTCTGGAGCTAAGATTGCACCCCACCGCTCCTAGACTCCATTCTGGGAAGGAGCATAGAAAGCAAGGAGGTCCTCTCTGACTCTCGTGACTCAAGGGGAGGGTCTCCCTCACAGTTCTCTCTGACCTTGGCCTCCATGCAGGAAATAAGGGAGTGCACCTTGCCATCAAATCTGGTTCAGACACGGTTGCATTCACTGTGCCAGGCTCTGGCTGAGTCGGGTTGGGGCCCAGGGGCTCGGCCGGCTGCTGGTGGTGCCTGTGATGTGCTGCGGCGCCTGCCACACCACAGGGGATGTGTCTCAATGGGGGCAGCTGCCCCAGGACGGCCTGGGCAAGCGGTGAGTGGGCTCACGGGGGGAGGCTGGGCTGGAGACCGGGGCCGGGGCCGGAACGCTGGCCCCCAGGGGGTGGGTTCTGACCCACTGGGCATGGAGGGCTCAGCTGCTGGTGGCTGAAGTGGCTTCCTTGGGAGCCATAGGCACAGCAAGCCCTGGGAGCACGACAGCATTGCCCTTGGGTGACCTTGGTGAGGTGGGTGCGACGCTGCGCAAGTGGGGAGCTCTTTGCTCAGGGGACAAGTGCCACGAGTGCAGAGTGGGGCTCTGGCTTCTCTGGCACCTCTACGAGCATGAGAGTCATTCTCCACACCCTCTCGTGACCTCAGGCTCAGTTTCCTAACTAGGTTGCACAGGAACATGTCAGGCAGGTTTGGAATGTCTCCAGAGATGGAGACTCTACCCCTCCTCAACGTGAGGAAGGTAAGATCCTAGCTGTTGAGTTGTTGGCATTAAATACTGTGAATCACAGCACTGATAAAGGTATTCCTTGCAGGATGAGCTTCTTCTCTTTGTCAGATGGGTGGCTCCTGGCTCTGCTAAACACACACTTCTTGTTGAGAAGAAAGGGACATAAATCGCAGGGCGCAGAAGCTGATGTGCGCGACTGCTTAGATCACAGATGGGATCGCTGAGCTCTTTCTGTCAGTAGTGACTTCCATATTCCCCTCTGGTTGCTACTTTATGTGCCTAAATTTTCACAGTTATACTGTGAAGGGTAATGCTTCCTGCCCACACACCACCTTCTACATGTAAAAGCACCCTGCTTATCTATTCTGGTGGTTCTCCTCTTTGATTTTGGAGGACCCAGATCTGGCTATTCAGACGACCAGGAGCTCACAGAAGTTTAGACTCAGGTAAGGGAGACCGTGTACTCTGGTTAATAGAGGATCAACAAAGCCGCTCCCTGGAGGGAAACAGCTAGAAATAAGGCAAGGTGTTGCAGAAGTTGTGGACAGCCTGGCAAGGTTTGATAGCCATGCAGATAGCCATGTCTCTGGAGAAGTTGTCTGCCCAATAGGAGCTCAGAGCCTGGACAACACTGAGAAGTTGCCAAGCCTGCTGAACCCTGCAGGGGATCATCCACTCCTACTATGCCATGTAGGGTCTAACGATACTGTGACGAGACAAGTTAGAACCATCAAAGGAGACCGTATGTTCCTCAGAGCAAAGTTCAAAGGATGAGGAGACCGGGTGGTGGTCTCCTCTATCGTCCCAGTCAGAAGAAGGTGGTCCAGGGAGGAGGGGAAGAATTGAAGAGGTGAATGCCTGGCAGCACAGCTGCTACTCAAGGTTTTGGCTTCTGGGATTGTAAATCAACCTTGGAGAAGCTGGGTCTGTTGGGAGCTGCTGGCATTCACCTGATCCTGTAGTGCAGGGAGAAGGAGGAGAGAATACGGGGGACAGAAAGGAGAGGGAAATCCCCGTGCAGCAGCCCTCTGCCAAGAGCGGCAGCGTCCTCCTCTCCATGGTCTCCCCAGTGCAGCCTGGCCGGTGAAGACCGTGGTGGCTACAAAGATGACTTTTGCACTGCTTTCCCTTCACACTGTCATGACCGTGGGGGCGATTTGACACGGGCTGAGAAACCTCCCTGGCAGCGGTGGCTGGGCAGGGAGCAGGCGAGGGGCACCGCTCCTGTGCCCCCGTGTGTTGAGTGGGCTCCGGGTGGAGCATCTGCCTCTCCTGGATGCTCCCCCGAGGGGTAGGTTCGAGCCCACTGGGCATGGAGGGCTCAGCCGCTGGCAGCAGTGCCTTGGGCCTGGCACAG